GTGTTATCAGGATTCCGAATTACTAACACATCTAGAAAAGCTAAGGAATTGTTTGCCTCTAACTCCATTGTGTACTGAATTTTAGAATTTATAGAGTTAAGATGGTCTAAAAATGCAGTTAGTTTATCTAAAGGTAGAATTGTGAAAGTATCGTCTACGTACTGCTTGTAGAATCTTGGATTTATGGGAGAAGTAAGCAGGGCTTTCTCCTCAAAGTCTTCCAAGAATATGTCGTCTAAACAAAAAAAAAAACAAACAAAACCCCCTTCCCCCAAAAAAAAAAAAAAAAAAAAAAATTAAAAAAAAAAAAAAAGAAAAAAAAAAAAACAAGATGCAGAAGTGTACAAGCTTGATTGTGAATGTGGTCTCTCCTACATAGGACAAACTAAAAGATCAATTAAAACCCGCGTTAAAGAACATATAGCTGATGTGAAGAATCGACGCTCCGGGAAGTCTGCAATCTGTGAACACGTACGGGATCGCCCCCCGTCACTACATCAGATTTGATAGACCACAAATCCTTGCTAAAAGAACACCGATTCCTTCCAAGGATGATTCGCGAGGCTATTGAAATCAAAAAACATCCTAATTTCAATAGAGAAGATAGCTAGGTGCTACCATCTGCTTGGGATCCTATAATAAATAAAATTAAATCCCAATCCAAGCATACAACTGCAAGACTTCATGATACCTAAGTTCATACTGTGTAGATCGGAACAAAAGTTAAATTTTAATCTATGGTAACCGCGGTTAACTATGACATCTGGACGTTGAACATCTCAGTCCTTCCCGTGACCATGAGTGCTGTAAAGCTCTCTAAACGTCGGGTATTTATAAAGTTAAATATACGCGATAAATTCCGTAAAAACTAGTATTATTTCAATACTGGAGCTACGTTACAAATGCTAATGTTATGTTGTAGCTACTGGCATCATGCGAAATGAATGATATTGAATTGTATGGTAGTTAGCCCGCTGTACGTCACTGGGACTAGAATACTATCTCTAGCGGATTTTGGTTTACGATAGATTAGCCGACTGAAACCCCAGTAATATGAGTCAGTTTATTAGCTTCGATAGTTTCAAGGACTTGGTGCAGATTGTATAATTTATGATTAATTATATACATCGCAAAATAATAACAGTAAGAAACTGAACTGAACAGAAGAGACAGTAGCTTAATCCCAGGTCGTGGGTTCGAATTCACCATTCGCCTACTACCGTGAACCACACCTACCTATAAGCATTTTAAGCTTACCTGGTGTGGTTAAAGGGTTAATATTAGTAATAATAATAACTAGTATTTATTTTAAAGCCGTTCTGACGGTTCCGAGGCGCAGTGGCTTAGCAGTGAGTTGTGGCGTTGAGGGCATCGGGTTCGAATCCCGCACGGCACAAGTATTTGTATGGCCTACAAATAATTGTCCCGGGTCTAGATGTTTGTCCATGTGTAATTTATGTTTGTAAACTGCTTCCACGATACCGGAGAAAATTAACGTTACCGTTTAAATTTAATAACAAAAAATTAAAACTAATGGGAAAGGTGTGCTAGGAGACTTATTGGTGAGCTGAATCTAATTAAAGCTAATCTTACCAGTCTCGAGCTCAGGCGCAAACATGCCGGTTTGTCTGTGTTCGGGTTTGTTGCTAAATCTTGGAGTGATTTCCCCCTCTACCTTCCGCCATTGGACAATCAGACACTCAGTTAGTGTCCAACCCTTTGTTGTCGGTATACCAGGCACTCGAACTAACGGTTGTCTTCATCGAGAGTAAAATAATTTGGCAACATCTGTCTTTACATCCGACTATAATGTCTTTAAGGCGAGAGTCAGGCTTTTGTTAAGCTTAGCCAATGCGTTTTACCGTCTTTCCGTCGGCTACACCACTGACCATCAGGTAGGATAGTCGTTAATAACTGGTTTATATATAATAGTTAAAAATACTATTACGCTACGACATCTATGCAGTGGCCAAGCACTTGGCAAGGACACTGCATAATCGCGAGTTCGAATCTTGCACAGTACAATTGCTAAAAATTAATGGTCCGAGTCTGGATGTTTGTCCAGGTGTAATTTAAATATATAAAATACGACACATGAGTAACTTATTAATTTGGTTAATGTTTTTTAAAATAAAAAAATAAATAACTTAACGTCTAAAGTATGGGCATTCTGTAGAATTTCTTCATCATCAGCTCGTACAATCCATTGCTAGATTGTAAACTTCTCACAGAGGCGAAAGGGTATACTGTAGCTACTGTATTTGCCATCGTAATAAAACAAATTACTGTTGTGAAAACGAAACGGCTTTTATAGGTATAGCGGATAGTTGAGTTCTGACTTGTAAAGCCTGTTCTGTCTATACATCATGTTGGCCGAGCGAAGGCGAGTACCAACGTATAGACAGCCCATTTGTCTTGCCACGCCATTGCTCGTCGTCGCTCTCCTAGCTGGCGGAGTGTAGGCGCGTGCCGACGTTTATATGATGCGTTTGGCGTGCCTTACCACAGTACCACCACTCGGGATCGGTCGCCACGACTCGTCTCACTTTGGAATAGTATCGGTTTTTTTGTACAAATCAAAGGCGCTCGCCTGCACTCGGCAATTCATGCTCACATGTTAGTTTGCCATGTCGGTATGTTCACTCATTCAAATTTGATCAACATGTAGACTGTAACACTCGCCTTGTATCATCAATTTGCCTACTCTCGCGTTGGCTGAGGCTTTGGCAACATGTATTGCCGGCTGAAGATAAGTATCTACATCTTTAGCCTTCTTTGTTGGGAGCAGATAGTAGCTTAGAATGCTAACTCAATTGTCACTTATTTATTGTGAAATGTATTTGAGCTCCACAATACTTTCTGTATTAATGTAGTGGTGTGGTGACACTTATATAATTATTAAATAATTTTACTTTAAAATAATGAATACCTACTGCTACCCTTATTTTAACCGTCATTAGTTTTGTTTTCAGTTCTTAACAACTATCTCTAAACTTTTTATACTAACAGGTATACCTATGAAATTACCGTTTTGCAGTACTAGGCATTTCAAATCAAAAGAATTTTTTTTGACTAAGAATTGTAATTTCAAATTAATTTTATTCAAAATAAATGGGTTTTTTTTTTCAAAATTAGTCGTTTGTTTATTGTTTAGCGTTATGTTTTCATCGCACTGATTTTTTTTCGTCATCATAGATTCGTTAAAATTCGAATAATTATGAAATATGAGTACCGCACTTTTTTTGTTTTTATAGGATAGGGTGACAAACGAGCACACAGTCCACCTGATGGTAAGTGGTTGCTGTGGCCCATAGTCATCTACATCTATCCTTTTTACGAATCAAAATGAAGATGCGTTGTCACCCGTGAGGGCCTAGGTGGAATGCCTCGTTCCCAGTAAAAAGGGTCTCCGGTTCTCTACACTCACCATACGAAACACAGCAGCATTAAGCTACTATTGGACTCTGGTATTCTGTGAGAGCTTAGTACCTCCCCGGTCGAGCCGACCCGTTCGTGCTACAACTTATACAACTAATATAACTGCAGTATGGCTCTACCACGTAAAAAACGCACTAACGTGGAAAAAGCGGCACGCAACATCCAACGATGTTTACGGAGCGAATACTACAAACGAACGCACCACCTGTTATTGGTTTGTCCGATTCTGTTCTGGAAATTTCGACTTGAAAAACGAAGACTGGTAGACAATGACGAAATAAAGATCATTATGGAAGCTGATGATACTCAATCTACGGCTGAATTAGCAGCGCTTTCGACGTTAGCATCGAATCAATATTGCACTATTTGCATCAAATTGGTATGGTATAAAAGCTTGACAAATGAATGGATGCCTCACGAACTCAATGATTGCCAGCGCGAAGTACGCGTCAAGACATGCCTTGCACTGCTCAACAGGCATACAAAAAAAGAACTGTTACATGTGGCGAAAAATGGATTCTGTTTGACAATCGCAAGCGCTCAGCAACTTGGTTGGATGCTGGTTCAGCATCTAAACAATGCTGTGATTCATTACAGCTTCTTACCAAACGGGATGAGTATTACTGCAGATGTTTAATGTGAAGAACTGAACATAATGATGGAGAAGCTGGCACGTCTCTAACTAGCTTTGGTCAACCGTTCGTCCCCGCTGCTCCTGCATAACAACGTGCGACCTCATACTGTAAAACAGACATCTCCAAGTTACAAGAGCTAAAGTTAAAAGCTCTCTGCATCCGCTGTACTTACCAGACCTTGGCCCTACAGCCTTCTAATTATTCCAGAATTTGAATAACTTTCCGGCGGAAAAAATGCAATACCCGAGAGGCAGAACAAAAAGCCTTTGAAAAATTTGTTGCCTCCCGTCTAGTTGATATTGTCAAGAAGGGCATCAATAAACAGCCACTGCGTTTACAAAGATGTCGATTGCATGAATGATTACTTTGATGAATAGAAAAAAAATGAAAAAAGAAATATGTTAACTTATTTTATAAAAAAACGGCAATTTTATAGATAAAGACCTAACATAATAAAAGTTAACATAACACAAAATAATTTAGGAACTAAAATTGCGTCTACTCAGCACAAGTGTTACGAAAACCACATAACGGTAACTTAAACGCTGATTTTCAGTACATGGAAGGCATGCGTTCAAAAAACTAAACTAACCACGGGCTCCAACATAAAAATAAAAACATACACTTATAAAGATTTAAAAATAAAAAACGAAAAGATTTTTTAAAACATTTAGAAGAAGGGCACATAAATAAACTATTTCATAAGATAGAAAAGCAAATATAGGAGGTAAAATTAAGTATTTCATAATTTTAGAATACGCAGAATATTTCATAAGAAAAGAATAAATTGACACGAAATTCTGCTAGTTACGCAAATTTAAAAGGTGTTCTTTTAGTTATAATTTAAAAGTGAAAGTTGTGTTAATATAAGAAAACATAATTATTTTACAAAGTCAAAGTCATTTATTTTTATCATTAAATCTCCAGGTGGGTTTGAAGTATGCTCAGCGGAGCGGAAATGGTCGAAGATTGCGCGACGCATGGGCCATCCACAGGGCAAGGGCATCGGCTCCATCCTGAAGAGTCACTACGAACGCATCCTGTACCCCTATGATGTTTTCAAGAGCAGTGGTGTTGTGGGTGATAACAAGGAAACTGTAAGTTTATGTATTATATTAATAAATACTATACTGATAATACGAAATGTCGGCTTTTTTAGCACGTTTTTAGTTCTGAGGTAAGTTTAATGATTCACGGGCTTAGCTATCGGAAAGATAGTTTAAAATTGATTGCAAAACATATATCGAACAGACAAACAGACAGTCAAGAAAGTAAGTTTATATGACATTGCCATAAAGTTTCAATCTAGTTTTTCATGTAGTTAGTGTAAAATTGATTATAAACTTTGTGCTAAACAGAGAATAAAGTGAGTTAATAAAAACGTGATAAATCACGAAACCCGTCTACAATAACTATTTATCACGCTGTTAGTTATGATGATGAAGAATTTAACGACACCTTGTACTTCAAAATGCGGCAAACTATTTAGACCACAGTATCTCAAAGGAGCTGACAACATTACATTTGTTGGGTTATTGAGTTTGGTTATTTTTTTATTTTTAAGGTCTATCAAAAGTACACTGCTGGCACTGTGGGCATTCAACATAGACTGCCTCATAAGTGTTAAGCTTGGCAGATGGGTTGGCTACTGCAGTTTTTTAATAATTTAAGTTGTCAGGAAGGTGCCATTGCATCTCCTGTTTCGATTTCTTCTGGCGCCAATCACTATATACTCAGTTATACCGATATATATATATATATATATATATATATATATATATATATATATATATATATATATATATATATATATAGAGAGAGAGAGAGGAAAGAGAGAGAGAGAGAGAGAGAGAGACAGAGTACTATTCAGTATATTATAACAGATTTTAAGTTAGCCAATTTTAATTTAAGAGATGTTTTGCAGAAGATCGAGGTGAAAATTGAGCAAACACCCGAAAAAGTGACCGCAGCCACACGCAGTCGCTCTGCCAGCAAATGCCCGGCGGCGGTGGCAGCAGTGGCAGCGGTGGCAGCTGCCACGCCGCCTCCCGCGCGCCGGTACAAGAGCTCCGAGCCTGAGCCCGAAGCAGAAGGCAGTCACACTGAGGGCGCGCTCTCCGGACTCGATGAGGACAGGAAGCTGAGGACACCCATCAAAGAGGAGAACCCTGAAACCAGGAGGAGTGAGTGAAATTAAATTGTTCTTCTGTAAACATTTAGCATTTCTAAAGTAGGTTATCCTAGCTGTGGATGAAAAGGACATTTCGCGAGTATTCTCTGTTTCTTTTAGCAAAATAAATATCCTATGCTGCAACATATTTTGGTAGTAGCTGAAATGAGTCGGTCGGCTCGACCATGGAAAGACCACACTGGCATATAATAGTAATAGTGAAAAGTAGGTCTTTACCTATGAAATTGCCGTTCTGCAGTACTGGACATTTCAAATCAAAATAATTTTTGTTTGGCTAACAATTCTAATTTCAAACTAATTTTATTTAAAATAAATGGAATTCTTTTTTCAAAATAAGTAATTTGTTTATTGATAAGAGTTATGTTTTCATCGTACTGAATCTTTCGTCTTCATGGATACATTAAAAATTCGAGTAATTATGGAATACAAGTACCGATACAAGTACAAGTACCGTCGTGGTAGTTACGACGTTTACGGAGCGAATACTAAAAACGAACGCACCACTTGTTGGTTTGCACGATTCCGTTCTGAAAATTTCGACCTGAAAAATGAACCTCGTGGTCGTCCTAAAAACTGAACGTAACTGGCTATGAGAGAAAGAGAGAAAGAAAATGTGCGCGCGCACTGCTCTCTCTTGGTTATATTCCGTATCAACTCTCGTTCGCCTTGCCCGATCACTCTTCGTCACGCGTTCGCCAGCTTACTCTCCAAGTCAAACGTGCGTAAAGAAGTTTTACTTCAAAAATCTGCGGTTACCAAGCGTTGCAACTAGGAAAATATCCTCTTTGTAAGGCAGTTTAAAGGTTTATTAGTATAATTTGATAGGATGCAATGACGGGCTCCAGCATCTTCCGGATTTTGTATTTGCTTGTACGTTGTATATCTAAACGAGTAGCTAAGATGCGTTTCCGGGTGCAGGTCCACGTGAGAACAAGTGGATGTCCAGTGCTGTAGCGGGGTGTGGAGTGGTGCGATCGCGGCGGCTGCGTGAGCACCGGCTCAGCAACATGACGGTGTCCGTGACGCCTGCGCCCGCGCCGCCGCCCGCCACGCATAACCCCGACGACCCGGTACGTACACACGCACGTACGTACACGCACTCGCACGTACTTACATGCACTCGCACGTACGTACACGTACACGCACGTACGTACACACACGCACGTACGCACACGCACGTACGTATACACACACACGTACGTACATGCACACGCACGTGCGCACACGCATCGCACGTCCGTAACGCACACGCACGTACGTACACGCACAAGCACATACATTTACGCACTCGCACGTACGTACATGCACTCGCACGTACGTACACGCACACGCACGTACGTACACGCACACGCACACACGTACGTAAACGCTCACACACGTACGTACACGCACACGCACGTACCCATATGCACACGTACACTCAGCACACGCACACGTACACATAGACACGTACATATACTGTTATACTCTTACGTTGTTTGTAAGATTGTACACCACCTTAGAAATATCCTAATAGCATCCATTTACCATTAGACAGATTGTGCCCATTTGTGCCCTCCCACCCTAATTCTTTAAAAACCGGTGCAGTTGGCGAAGTACATGTGCCACGTGTGCGGACGTGGCGACGTGGAGGAGCAGATGCTTTTGTGCGACGGCTGTGATGACTCCTACCATACCTTCTGCCTTGTACCTCCGCTCGCAGATGTGCCAAAGGGCGATTGGCGATGTCCAGTTTGCATTGCCGAGGAGGTGAGTACAATCTAATTGACAATTCCTTATGTTGCGAAGAGCTAACTCTAGGTTTGGGTTATTGATAACTATTCTTCAATGGTAATTTTAATGATTTTATTACCCTTCGCAGTTTTGGGTTTATTAGTTTATTTATTATAGAAAAATTTATTAAATATTAAAACATTTTTTAAATGTATTTTTAATTTAATTTTTAACACACATATGAAAAACATTTGAATTTAGTTTGCAATGAGAAATTTTCATTGTATTTTGGAATAATATCATTCATTTGTTATTAACTTCATTTTATACATTATTTTGTTAAATATGTTTGTCTCTACTTGTGTTTTTTTATATTATAGTACCTTAGAGATTAATGCATGAAGTTTAGAGAACAGGAGAACGATCGCCGTAGAAAATAGTGTCCCAGAAATATGGACACTATCAGTGAGGCGCTGCGATCACTAAGTGCAGTCAATAAAAGCCATTTTCAGTCTGTTTTTCCGATCAGATGCTCAACCACTTGCACATCCACTTTTTAATGTTTCTTTTTGTCAAAAATGACAAAATTACGGAGCATGAAAATTTTTTACGAAAAAATGAAATGAAAATTTGTACAATATTCAACTAACTTCACCTACTTGTACTCATAAACAGCTAACTTCGCAGCCACTACTCACCGACGTCAGCGCCGCTATACATTCTACAATTTTCAAGGACAGGCGGGCTATGCTTTAGTACGTAGCGATCGTTCTCCTGTTCTCTAACCTTCATGGATTAATGTATGAACCAAGATCATTAAAATAAGATTTTATTAAACTACATTGAAGAGTAATTAAAAATTTAAGATTTGTACTCTCAGCACTTGGCATTTGTTTTATTTATAGTTCAAATTATCTCGATTGATAAATTATGTAAATAGATTTAAGTATAAACCTACAACATTTTTGATCTTACGAGCTAGATCAATAGAACTAAAATATCTTTCATATTATAGTATTTTCTGCTAAATGACCAATGTTTTAGGAATTTTAAAATGATACACTAACCAGTATAAGTTTTGTGTTTTTACTTAGGTATCGAAACCAACCGAAGCTTTCGGCTTCGAGCAGGCAACCCGGGAGTACACATTGCAACAGTTTGGTGAGATGGCAGATCAGTTCAAGTCAGATTACTTCAATATGCCCGTTCACGTGAGTTGGGATTCATAAACATAAACATCAACAACCTGCTGATACACTTTTCAAGAAAAGTCTATCAGCAGGTTAAACAAAAGTTTTTTTTATTACGCGTATTATCCGCGGATTACATAGTAAAGATTGTATTATAGTATCAAAAACTTATCGAAATTCATAGCGCCTCTTGTTTCAACGCTCAGCATCTGCAACATGTGCACAGTTCAATGTTAAGCATTAGAAAAGAAAAAGAGTTACATATAAGAGAAAAGCTTTTAATTAATCGTGTTTAAAAATACAACGCTTAAAGACGTCATGCCTTCTGATTATTACATCCACAAATTTGTATAATATAATTTATTAAAAAAAAGTCATGGTAAGAATGATTTATAGAATGTGTGCGAGTGGACAAGGTATTATGTTGTTTATATTTTTATCTATTTAATAATATTCGAAAAAAATCGTCATTTTATATACTTTTTTCTTTTTGATTTTTAAAACATCAATTTAAGCAAGATTTTTAACATTTATCGAATTGTTTCGCGTTTTAAAATCAGCTGTATTTATACTAAGTATATTACGTATATAATTCAAGATGAATACGAAATATATGTTGTAGATGGTACCAACATCAACAGTAGAGCGCGAGTTTTGGCGCGTAGTTTCCTCAATCGATGAAGACGTGACTGTGGAATATGGAGCGGACCTGCATTCAATGGACCATGGATCTGGTGAGCCCGTTCTTTCACGTGACTTATCTTACAAGCAGAGGAGTACGAGCGGACGTTCCTGTGACTATAGTAGACACCTAATGAACGCTCGCATTTCTAGAATGACTACCGTACTTTTGGTTATGTTCTGAAGCCAAAGCTTTGCAAAAATAACTGGTTTCCTAGCTGTATTGCTGTGGTTGACCCTGTATTTTTGGTTAATGTATAACTACCCTTCTCACTAGTTTTAGTTGACAATCTTGAATAATATGGTAAGATGTGATCATTGTTAAAACTAGCACAGAAATGTTGACTGAAGGTAACTAAGCGCCTTCGTCTTGTATATTGATAATGTATGTCTATCTTCCTTGTTGTAATAATTTTTAGTAATGTGCTAAATTTGCCTTATCCAGTCTTTAAATTTTTTAATCCATTGCTGGAATATAGGCCTAAGAATGTTATGCTAGTCAGGGTGGTGAGCGTAGAACCCATACCCTAGTTATTGGATTAAATATATTATATTTTTCATCTTTTGTTGCTATTATTATAAGTTAAACTTGTTCTAACATTATGTAATCCTTGCAGGTTTCCCAACAAAAATGAGTGCACACCTGTATCCCGGTGAGCAACAATATGCGGAGTCCAGCTGGAATCTCAACAATCTGCCCGTACTTGAGGGCTCTGTTCTGGGACATATCAATGCAGACATATCTGGAATGAAGGTAATGTAGCTGTTTATATACTATAATATTTATAACATACTTAATTTGCCGTTATTTTTATAATTGATAACATAATAATTGATTAATTTAGAAAGATAGTGGAAGTTACTATGAGTTCTTATATTTACGCGAACACTACACATTGAAATAATACTAGTTTTTACGGAATTTATCGCGTTTATTTAACTTTTTAAATACCCGACGTTTCGAACGCTTTACAGCACTCATGGTCACGGGCAGGACTGAGATGTTCAAACGTCCATATGTTATAGTTAACCGCGGTTACCATAGATTAAAATTTAACTTTTGTTCCGATCTATGCAGTATGAACTTATGGTATCTTGAAGTCTTGCAGTTGTATGCTTGGGTTGGGATTTAATTTTATTTATTATAGGATCCCAAGCAGATGGTAGCACCCAGCCATCTTCTCTATTGAAATTAGGATGTTTTTTGATTTCAATAGCCTCGCGAATCATTCTTGAAAGGAATCGGTGTTCTTTAGCGAGGATCTGCGGTCTATCAAATCTGATGTAGTGACGGGGGCGATCCTGTACGTGTTCACAGACTGCAGACTTCCCGGAGCGTCGATTCTTCACATCAGCTATATGTTCTTTAACGCGGGTTTCAATTGATCTTTTAGTTTGTCCTATGTAGGAGAGACCACATTCACAATCAAGCTTGTACACTCCTGCATCTTGCAGAGGGACATTACACTTGACCGATGGTAAAAACTGACCAATCTTCTTCAGCGGCTTGAAGTATGTTTTGATGGAAGCGCGCTTCAAGATGTAGCCAATCTTGTCAGTGACTCCTCTAACATATAGCAGTACAGCATGTACACGCTCGACTGTGGTCGGCTTCACTCGTTCACTGTGACGTAGGCGCGGGACTCGAAGCTTGTTGTCATGCAAAACTTGCTTGACATGGTGGAGCTCGGCAGCCAGGTGTTTACTGTCACAGATCCCTCGTGCTCTCTGAAACAAAGATTTACCCACGGTAGCTAACTGTGAAGGATGGTGGTGAGAATCACCGTTTAAATATCTATCAGATCTATCAGGGGGGATGAGTCGCTCGCGTCCGTAGGCTCCGACCACCTAACCTTAGGCCCACCCTACACGTGTCCCCCGGGTGGTGCTAAACGAGCGACAAAGCCGAAAAAATAGACTCGGCTCCTCGCCGTATGGTAGCGGCGTAAAATCTACCACCACCCCTTGTTCGAATGACTCAGGAAATAAAAGAAATGGCCCCGAGTTCCCGGCGCCCCTTAAATGGGGCAGGGGTGCGAAGAATCTCCGGGAGAAAAACCGGCGACGAGGTTCGCCACCCGTCACGTTCTCTCTCCCGGAGGGGCGAAAAGTGGATTGCGGAAACCCGTCTGGCTACGCTGAATGTTTGTGGAGGAATGAATGATAAGATGGATGAAGTATGCGAAATGATGAATGACAGAGGAATAGATGTGTTATGTGTGAATGAGACGAAACGAAAGGGAAAGGATGCCACTGCACATGGCACGTATACCGCGTATTGGTCTGTTGTAGGCGAGACCGAACGGGCGTGCCAGGGAGTCGGTTTCATCCTTTCAGAAAGAATGGGTCAATGTGTGAAAGAGTATGAATGTGTAAGCCCGAGACTGCTATGGATACGAATGAAAGTGGGCTTAAAGAAGCTGTTCCTGCTAGGGGTGTACGCCCCAGACATGTCTAAGCCCGCTTACATTCGAGAGCAGTTTTGGGACATGGTAAGGATGGTGTTGACAAAATGTAAGGAAAATGAAAATATTATTATGTTAGGAGACTTTAATGGAAGGGTTGGGGTGAAGAGGTCTGGTTATGAAAGGATATTGGGAACGTTTGGTGATGAAAGTATAAATGAGAATGGTGAAGACCTCCTCACCGTATGTGCGGAAAAGAATCTTTTTGTGACGAATACTTTTTTTCGTCATAAGAAGATTCACATGTATACATGGGAAAGAGGTGATGATAGAAGCATGATAGATTTCGTAATTGTGGATGAAAGAATGAGGAGCGCAGTCGTAGATACAAGGGTTTACCGGGGGTCCAACGTAGGGACGGATCATTACTTGGTCTTATGTCGAATTAATGGTCTTTTCAAGCGTTGGCGGCATCGGACATCTGTGTCTACCACTGCGTTACAGCGTATAAGAATGGAGAAGTTACAAGATGAAGATGTGAAAGAGAAGTATAAATGTAGACTGAGAGAAAATATTAGATGTTTGAATGAGTTGTGTATGAATGATTTAGACTTGAAGACTGTGTGGGATAATATTAAGAAAGGTTTGGTGGATACCGCCACCGAAGTATGTGGTGTAAGTAAAAGAACAAATGAAAGGAAAAGTAATACGTTGTGGTGGGATGATGAGGTACGGGTGGAGGTTGAATCTAAGAAGAAAGCATGGTTAGATTTACTAGCAACCAAAGCTGGTAATTCTTCTGGTATGAATGATGAGATTGAAAGAAAAAAGGCAGAATTTAGACGTCTAAATAAGAGAGTAAAAGAAGTTGTTGAAAGGAAAAAGAAAGAAAGAATGGATAAGAATGATAGAAGGATATCTGATAATTTCCAGGCTAACATAAAAATGTTCTGGAAACTCGTAAGAAATGCCAGGGGAAATACAAAACAGCCTATAATAAATGCTATAAGAGACGAGAATGGATGTATTCTGAATGATGAAGTTTCGAATTTAAACAGATGGAAGGAATACTTTGAAAGCGTGTTTATGAGTGAAGAGTCGTATGAATTAAATGAACTAGAAATTCCGAAAGAAGTGGAAAGGGGTATGGAGATAAGTGTAGATGAAATAATGAAAGCAATGAAAAGCATGAAAGCAGGTAAGGCAGCTGGATATGATAGAGTATCACTCGAGATGCTAAGGGCTGGAGAGGGAGTGGTGGCAGGCCTGCTGTACACCTTGTTTAATTTATGTTGGGAATTAAAACGGGTACCGGATGACTGGTGTAAAGCAGTTATAGTACCAATATATAAAGGAAAAGGGTCACAGCAGGACTGCAAAAACTACCGCGGTATCAGCTTGCTTAGTATTGTGGGTAAACTGTATGCTAAGGTGTTAATTGAAAGAGTTATGAAAGAAACTGATGGAAAAATTTGGGATGTGCAAGCGGGTTTTAGAAAGGGAATGGGGTGCACAGATCAAGTCTTTTCCATGCGCATGATAGCGGAGAAGTTTTTGGCCAAAAACCAGAAAGTTTTTTGTGCGTTCATGGACTTGGAAAAGGTACGTCCAACGTAGGGACGGATCATTACTTGGTCTTATGTCGAATTAATGGTCTTTTCAAGCGTTGGCGGCATCGGACATCTGTGTCTACCACTGCGTTACAGCGTATAAGAATAGAGAAGTTACAAGATGAAGATGTGAAAGAGAAGTATAAATGTAGACTGAGAGAAAATATTAGATGTTTGAATGAGTTGTGTATGAATGATTTAGACTTGAAGACTGTGTGGGATAATATTAAGAAAGGTTTGGTGGATACCGCCACCGAAGTATGTGGTGTAAGTAAAAGAACAAATGAAAGGAAAAGTAATACGTTGTGGTGGGATGATGAGGTACGGGTGGAGGTTGAATCTAAGAAGAAAGCATGGTTAGATTTACTAGCAACCAAAGCTGGTAATTCTTCTGGTATGAATGATGAGATTGAAAGAAAAAAGGCAGAATTTAGACGTCTAAATAAGAGAGTAAAAGAAGTTGTTGAAAGGAAAAAGAAAGAAAGAATGGATAAGAATGATAGAAGGATATCTGATAATTTCCAGGCTAACATAAAAATGTTCTGGAAACTCGTAAGAACTGCCAGGGGAAATACAAAACAGCCTATAATAAATGCTATAAGAGACGAGAATGGATGTATTCTGAATGATGAAGTTTCGAATTTAAACAGATGGAAGGAATACTTTGAAAGCGTGTTTATGAGTGAAGAGTCGTATGAATTAAATGAACTAGAAATTCCGAAAGAAGTGGAAAGGGGTATGGAGATAAGTGTAGATGAAATAATGAAAGCAATGAAAAGCATGAAAGCAGGTAAGGCAGCTGGATATGATAGAGTATCACTCGAGATGCTAAGGGCTGGAGAGGGAGTGGTGGCAGGCCTGCTGTACACCTTGTTTAATTTATGTTGGGAATTAAAACGGGTACCGGATGACTGGTGTAAAGCAGTTATAGTACCAATATATAAAGGAAAAGGGTCACAGCAGGACTGCAAAAACTACCGCGGTATCAGCTTGCTTAGTATTGTGGGTAAACTGTATGCTAAGGTGTTAATTGAAAGAGTTATGAAAGAAACTGATGGAAAAATTTGGGATGTGCAAGCGGGTTTTAGAAAGGGAATGGGGTGCACAGATCAAGTCTTTTCCATGCGCATGATAGCGGAGAAGTTTTTGGCCAAAAACCAGAAAGTTTTTTGTGCGTTCATGGACTTGGAAAAGGCTTATGACAGAGTGGACAGGAATGTGTTATGGCAAACACTGAACTCATATGGGCTTGATACAGGCATTAGGGTCTCTTTATAGGGACTCTAGTGCTTGTGTCAGGATCAATGGGGTCTACTCGGACTGGTTTGGCATCCAAAAAGGTGTCAGACAGGGCTGTGTAGCTTCCCCTTGGCTGTTCAACCTATTTATGGACCGGTGTTTGCAAACTTTGAAAGATGAAGAATGTGGTTTAAGAATGGGCCAGTTAACCGTCAAATGCCTTTTGTATGCCGATGATCAAGTCATATTTGCGTCATCAGCGGCTGAGTTGCAAATGATGGTTACATTAATGAACTGGGAATTAAAAGAAAGGGGAATGAAAGTGAACGCAAGTAAGACGAAAGTGATGGTTTTTGAAAGAGAAGAAAGCAAAACGGTATGTGAAATAAGAATAGAAGGAGAGTTAATTGAGTAAGTGGATGAGTTTGTGTATTTGGGATGTGTATTTAGCAGGGATGGTAGATATGATAGGGATATAGAACGACGAGTAAATGCAGGGAATAGAGTGAATGGGGCACTACACTCTATTATGAAGAACCAGAATGTGTCAAAACAGGCACGTATGGTAATTCATAATGCTGTGTTAGTCCCTACGTTAATGTATGGTAGTGAAAGCTGGGTATGGCAGAAGAAGCACGAAAGTAGAATAAATGCTGTAGAAATGCGTTCTTTAAGAAATATGCTAGGGTTTAATCTGAATGACAGGGTGAGAAATTGCGTGATAAGAGATAAATGTGGTATGCAAGATGATGTTGTGACCAGGATTAAGAAAGGAATGCTTCGGTGGTTTGGTCACGTAGAAAGAATGAATGATGAAAGAGTGACAAAGCAAATTTATATGGCAGATGTGAACGGCCGAGTCGGGAAGGGACGCCCTAGAAAAAAGTTTGTCGACCAAATTGGCGATATTTTGAAAATGGGCCACGTTAGAAGTACCCTTAACCGACGAGCATGTATGCGTAGATATATGGATGTAAAGGAGGCGAAAGAGGTATGTCAGGATCGTGCCAAATGGAAGTCCGTAATCTCTGCCTACCCCTCTGGGTGACAGGCGTGAGTGTTTATGTTTATGTTATCTATCAGATTGGCTACATCTTGAAGCGCGCTTCCATCAAAACATACTTCAAGCCGCTGAAGAAGGTTGGTCAGTTTTTACCATCGGTCAAGTGTAATGTCCCTCTGCAAGATGCAGGAGTGTACAAGCTTGATTGTGACTGTGGTCTCTCCTACATAGGACAAACTAAAAGATCAATAAAAACCCGCGTTAAAGAACATATAGCTGATGTGAAGAATCGACGCTCCGGGAAGTCTGCAGTCTGTGAACACGTACAGGATCGCCCCCGTCACTACATCAGATTTGATAGACCGCAGATCCTCGCTAAAGAACACCGATTCCTTCCAAGAATGATTCGCGAGGCTATTGAAATCAAAAAACATCCTAATTTCAATAGAGAAGATGGCTGGGTGTTACCATCTGCTTGGGATCCTATAATAAATAAAATTAAATCCCAACCCAAGCATACAACTGCAAGACTTCATGATACCATAAGTTCATACTGTGTAGATCGGAACAAAAGTTAAATTTTAATCTATGGTAACCGCGGTTAACTATGACATATGGACGTTGAACATCTCAGTCCTGCCCGTGACCATGAGTGCTGTAAAGCGTTCGAAACGTCGGGTATTTAAAAAGTTAAATAAACGCGATAAATTCCGTAAAAACTAGTATTATTTCAAAGTTACTATGAGCTAAACTTTGTTCTATTGTGGACCTTCCTGGCAATAGAGACGTGTAAAATTCCATCGCCCAGATCGTCCCATGGGTTTCGTAACAGTCGACGGAAAGCAGAGTAACAAAGGTGTGATAAAACGTGTCGTACTGTTAAGCCAATCTGCCTACTAAACTTGGCGATCATGGCATACCCTTGATACTGTATGTAGAGGAAGCTCATGTTCAGGAATAGCCTGTTACCAGCTGCATGAAGAAGAAACTTAAAATATATCACAGTGTGTATGTGCAAAATGTGTCAGCATGTGTGAACAAGGAAAATTCAAGTTAAACCGAAAGAGCTTCCTGTTCTCCATCGTTACAGACTGCTGCTTGATCCTGCACAGCCTCCAGGAGCACATAATCTCCTTTGGCAAAATAATTTTCCGTAACTGGAACTTGTTACTGTTCCATTTAAAAACAAACTCGACAAGTGGCTACAAACTACCAAAACAATAAAAGACTTTATTTTAACACTGCATTATGTATTCATATCGGCGAAAACTGAACTATAACGAAAAAAAGTAATTTATTTCACTCATGTTAATTTTAACTCCTTTTTTAGTACTTTAAACCAGCACTTGACTACTACCCATCTGATGGAGAGTGGTGATGCAGCCAGAGATGTTGAAGTGCAGTGACTTGTCAAAAGCCTATTCACTCTTACCTTGAAGACACCCACATTGTCATCAGATGGAAAGACAACTAATTCCACTCCTTTGCTGTACGCATCTTATGGGGGCACACAGGTGCATGGGTTACTTCGAAGCATTTATGTGTTACGTTGCGTAGTAATATTAATTTAACGATGACGTATTTTAGATTCCCTGGCTTTACGTGGGCATGTGCTTCGCAACCTTCTGCTGGCACAATGAAGACCACTGGAGCTACTCCATCAACTACCTGCACTGGGGCGAACCAAAGACCTGGTACGGGGTACCGGGCTCCAAAGCTGAACAGTTCGAAACGGCCATGAAGTCGGAGGCTCCGGAACTGTTCCAGCTGCAACCAGACCTGTTACATCAACTTGTTACAATTATGAACCCAAACATACTTATGAAGGCCGGTGTGCCTGTTTATAGGTAAATAACTGTTTTTCATTGTTTTTTTTTGCTTATTAGTTTACAAAGTGTACAAAATATAGCCTCAGGGGTGTTGTAAAAGCTGACTATGGAAAGAGCAGAAAAGAAGAATATTCAAAATAGTGACGCAGAGCAATATCGAAAGTATTGTGACTGCCAACCCATTAGACATAGTTATTATGGGAAGTTCTATTTGAAGATGTCCATGGCAGATTGTGAACAGTTACGGTCTGGAGACAAATAAGAATGTTGGTAGAGGATGTTTTAAAATTCTAACATTAAGATTGATATAGTAGAATTGACATGAAAGTGTTTTCCAAAAATAACTGTTATCGCACATACAAGGGTCGCACAGTTTCTTGCTGGTTCAGGTTTTTTCGAACCTTTAGTACAGTAATAGAAAAAATGAGCTTCAAATGATTTTACTTATAATCTCTGTTGTTATAATCTAATCCTAGTTGAATAAGTAATATTCTATTCTATTCATAATTCCTTTGAGTAATTGTTTCTGGAAAAGTTTTAGTGATAATGAGTTTACTAAATACATAATCTTTATTTCATACATAGGACGGACCAGCATGCTGGCGAGTTCGTCATTACATTTCCACGTGCTTATCACGCGGGTTTCAATCAAGGGTACAATTTTGCAGAGGCGGTCAATTTTACTCCAGCAGATTGGGTGAGTGTGATACACTTGACAAATTTTATTTTTTATTATCTGGGTAGTACAAAATAAATAGATTAACTAATGTGTTCATAATATGTACTTAACAGAATTTGTAATAACTTAGCATGTAATTTTTATCGGATCTTCTAATCCTTAGTCAAGATTTAAATTATTTATTATATATAACTATCGATATATATGTACTACGCACTAGATTTAGCATTCCAAACACTAACTAGGTTCAAATAAACTGCACTGCAATCCGTACACCTTATTTTAGTGTCATGTAGTGTGGTTTCGATATTCATACAGCGTGGAGCGGCGCTAATAGAAACAGAAACAGAACAGAAACGGAAACTTTTTTATTCAATGTAGATTATAACAATACTTATTGAAAGTCACTTTTTTAATTTACCACTGGTTCGCAAAAAAAACCTCTGTCCTGGGAAGAACCAGCAAGAAACCCAGAGGGACTATTTTTTTCCAATAATAGCTTACAATCATGTTTACAATTAGCAACACAAGACAAATTAGAAATAGCTTGGTAGCGATCACCCTTCCCAGGGGTTATTATCATCCATAAATTCCTTAATATTATAATAACCCTTTTTATACAAACTTAGTTTAATAACATTTTTGAACTTTGTGTATGACAAATTTTGTATATTTTCTGAGATTTTGTTGTAAAAGCGTATACAATATACAATAATACAAAGAATCAAATCAAAGTTAGAACCTGGACGTAAACAATAATGCAGTAGTCAAGTAACCAACATTTTTTGTTGTTCAAGTTACCTAGTTTTTCAATAGTTCAAACATTGTAAAACCACAATAGAAAAAAATATTTCTTCATTTAAATTCCACGCCATCTACAATCAAACTAAAACATACAAATGTTCTGTTACAAAACCGAATGTAGGTAAAATATTTTACAGATCAACAACTTGACGTGTTATTTTTAGTTTTAATTTTTTAACCAGTTTATATATTTGAAAATTTATTTTATGTTGTTTCTTTTTTGTATAAAATATCAATTAATATTTGTCGGTATATATGTATAAAAGTTACTTTAAATATACATATTAAAATGTAATAGTAATGATCTTTGATAATAAATGTATGTTTTGTATAATGTTTGTATGTTACCTTTAAAAATATTCAAAAAATTATCATTAAAAATGTAATTGTGACATAATATTATATTAAATTAGCACATATGCAAAATTATTGGCAATTAAAAAAATTGTACTCTATAATATAATTAACAATACAATCTAAATAAACATTTTTTACATACTGATCATTCCACCTACGTATACTCTATGATGACAAACTGGCGACGCAAGCGCGACGTCAGTTTGCCATCATCAAGACGACCAACTGCGCATGCGCGTCTCTACTGTTTCCCGCTCATTCGCGAAGACGTAAGTTGCGCACATTTTTTTGTTTGGAATAGCTTCTCTAGTACGTAGTACATACATATTAAACTTAATGTATATAACCATTACTTGGATAATAACTAGAACCATGAATAAAATTAACTTGGAAGCCATCTAGGTACTTATAGATTTGTTTTAATTTTTCAACACACAGTAAACAATTTGTTAAATTACAAAATGTATTTGTGAATGTTCTAGAATTATAGATTATCCAAAAGCTGAATATTAGTCGTCATTAGAAGCTTGGATAAATCTTATTGTGAGTGTTTGTTCCAGTTGTTCTAATTAAATTCTGCTCACAATAGCTAAAGATGGGTCGCGAGTGCATCGCACACTATTCAACTCTGCGTCGATACTGTGTCTTCTCTCACGACGAGTTGGTCTGCAAGATGGCACTCGAAGCAGACTCGTTGAGTCTCACCGTTGCCCTGGCTGCCTACAGAGATATGAGGACGATGCTGCACGATGAGAGAAAACTTAGGAAGGGATTGCTGGACTGGGTAAGCTGAGTGTTTTTTATTGATTTTTAAAATGATTGGATATTATGTGCTATATAGTGGCGGTTAAGAATATCCACTACCCCATATCTTCCCATAGTGTTGGTAAGAGGCGACAGAGGGAAGCAGGCAGGAGATGGGCAACAGTATCTTCCTGATAACAACAATAATACAACAAGAAACTGCGGTTGCCAACTCGCATATATCTAGAGCCATGCATTCCTCCAAAACCCACTTTACGGTGTTAATGGGAGACTTCAATGCAAAACTAGAAACTAGAGAAAACGGTAAGCTGAGGATAGGGAAATCCGGAATAGGGCAACGGAACCCAAGGGGCCAGTAGCTGGCCAACTTAATGGAAAAAGAGAGACTCTTTATGATGAACTTTTTCTTTGAGAAGCGGTCCCACGGAATGACGACTAGACGGCAACTGTACAATGATGTCTCAGTGATTGCAAGTGTGAAAACTGGTATCGATGATGAGAGGCGCACTGAACCTAAAGATTAAATTGGAGAGGTCATGTCTAATGAAGTCATCGCTCTATACTCTATTCCAAAGTCCCGAAAACTTTCAACTCGAGTTACAAAATCGTTTTCAGTGCCTAGAAGACTGCAATTGAGTGGACGATATGAATGACAAGCTCGTGGAAACTCTATGCCCGCCACAGAATACAAAAACTCTAGTCACACTCTTAATCTCATGGCTGTTAGACGGGAAATGAAGCTGCAGTCTTCAGCAGATTTGACTGACAGGCAGAAGTTCAAATGCATGCGACGGGACTTACGCAACTTCAATACAACTTGTATTGAAGAAGCAATCTAGTGGAAGCAGGGCTCTAAAGTTTTTGCCAGAGATCTGTCTGACAGAAAGAGCCAACTGTCGAAGCTGTGTGGCAGCATTGTTTCTGAGACACCTGAGATTTTGAGTGAGATTGAGAGGTTCTATGGGCAGCTATACACCAAGTGTGAGTAACGATCCAAGAGCAAATCTTATCTGACAGTATACCGATGATATCCCGGACGTCAGTCTGAGTGAGATTAGAATGGCTCTCCAGGACCTTGAAAACGGCAAGTCCCCGGGCGAGGATGGGATTACATTGGAGCTTCTGAAAGCGAGGGGAAAACTGGTACTTGAAGTCCTTCAGAAGCTCTTTAATTCTGTCCTCCATTGTGCCACTACTTCGGAGGCGTAGAGCAGAAGTGAGGTGCTCTTGAAGAAACTACAGACTGATTTTTCTACTGAGCCGCGTCTACGTGCTGTTTTCGAGAGTAATTACGAATCGTCTCGCACGCAGACTGAACGATTTTCAATCTCCCACACAAGCCGGTTTCTGAAAAGGCTTTAGCACCATAGATTACATACATCGGCAATTTGTACAAAAGACCGGGGAGTACAATCTGCCATAGTGGCAGTGGCAGTGGTCTTGCGTATGTGGACTATAAGATAGTCTTAGATTCCGCCGAAATTTGGGCGGTGCGGCAGTCTCTTCAGCGGTGCCAAATTGACTGTCGGTATATCAAGGTGCTGAAGTGTTTGTACAGTAGGTCTACGATGGCTATCCGAGTACAGAAAATAAAAGTACGAAACCTATATAACTGCAGAGGTGGAGGTGTAAGACAGGATGACATTATATCCCCGAAACTTCCCCACTGCATTGAAAGACGTTTTCAATATTACGACTGGAATGGATACGGTATTAACATCAATGGAGAGTTCATCACTCACCTTCGATTTGCCGTCGATATAGTCCTTATGGCAGCATCGCTGGAAGACCTAAGCACTATGCTCAATGACCTTAATGGTGCCTTCCAACGGATAGGTCTTAAGATGAACATGGACAAAACGTAGATCATGTTTAATGTCCATGTCACACCTATGTCGGTAGTAATTGGGGGCAATAAGCTCGAAGTTGTTGATGAGTATGTTTACTTGGGACAAATAGTCCGACCAGGTAAGTCCAACTTCGCCCGAGATCGACGGATTCGACTCGGCTGGGAACATTAAGGAAATTACGACACATTTTCTTGTCAGGTATACCTCAAAATTTGAAAACTTGATTGTACAACCAGTGCGATTTGTTAGTGATGACCTATGGATCTGAGACGTGGTCCTTTACTGCTGGCCGTATGAGGAAGATCAAGGTCGCTCAGCGAGGTATGATAAACTTAGAAATGAGGATATCCGCAGTAAAACCAGAGTGACCTACAGTCCAATGGATTATGGCTGGTCGGTAATATAGCACGTACCAGTAGGCGAAGTGTAGGGCGACCCCCACCAGATGGAGTAACGACCTGGTAATACATGCAGGAAGTCGATGGATGCTGGTGGCTCAGAACCGTGATTTGTAGCATTCCTTGGAGGAGGCCTTTGTTCAGCAATGGACTTGAGAAGAGCTGTATTGATGAATAAAGATGACTATTTCTCATTCACTTTATACTTTTTATGGTTTTCTGAAAATCAGAAACATAAGGTAATTATTACTTATGATAACTGTTTAAATGGACCACAGTCATCTAATGCTTTAACGAAAGTGACTGTGACACTACTTGATTTAACGATATCTTGAAATTAAGTAGCGTTTGAGAATTTGGTCAGCATAATCTTATGTTCAACAGTGGACTTTATAGCGACTGGTAGGGTAGGCTGAAATAGTTGAATGAACTGTAGTAAAAGATTGAATGAATAACGAACGGAGGTGTGGTGTGCAGGGCGTGACGGAGGCGGAGCGCGAGGCGTTCGAGCTGCTGGCGGACGACGAGCGGCAGTGCCAGCTGTGCCACACCACGTGCTTTCTGTCGTGCGTCACGTGCGCCTGCACGCCGCACGTCGCCTGCCTGCGCCACTACGCGCGCCTCTGCACCTGCCCGCCGCAGCGTCACAAGCTGAGGTACTCACATCGCTACTGCGTCACCAGCACCACCACTACTGCAGTGCAGCTGTGCCACACCACGTGCTTTCTTTCGTGCGTCACGTGTGCCTGCACGCCGCACGTCGTCTGCTTGCGCCACTACGCGCGCCTCTGCACCTGCCCGCCGCAGCGCCACAAGCTGAGGTACTCACATCGCTACTGCGTCACCAGCACCACCACTACTCCAGTACAGCTGTGCCACACCACGTGCTTTCTTTCGTGCGTCACGTGTGCCTGCACGTCGCACGTCGCCTGCTTGCGCCACTACGCGCGCCTCTGCACCTGCCCGCCGTAGCGCCACAAGCTGAGGTACTCACATCGCTACTGCGTCACCAGCACCACCACTACTGCAGTGCAGCTGTGCCACACCACTTGCTTTCTGTCGTGCGTCACGTGTGCCTGCACGCCGCACGTCGCCTGCCTGCGCCACTACGCGCGCCTCTGCACCTGCCCGCCGCAGCGCCACAAGCTGAGGTACTCACATCGCTACTGCGTCACCAGCACCACCACTGCTGCAGTGCGGCTGTGCAGCTGTGCCACACCACGTGCTTTCTGTCGTGCGTCACTGGCGCCTGTACTACTACTACTATCACCAACACTACTACTTCTATTATCACCAACATCACTACTTCTATTATCACCAACACCACTACTACAATTACTAAAATAATTACACAGCTACTGACACTACTATATACCACAGGAATGACAAGTCGGAGAAGGTCGTAGGTGGTAAACAATTCCACAGAAAAGTAGTGCGAGGAAGAAAACATCTAGTAAATAGCACGTAACTTGAGTCTTTCGCGATGTGCGTTGGTGAAATTTGGCTGCTGCACATTTGGGAGCACCCCCCGTGGTGAATGCGATAGCAAACGCAAAATGCAATTTAATTTGTATTTTTATATATTACGTTACCCCACACTAGGATTTCGCCTGCATCGTGAAAGCAATTTACATACATAAATGTTACAAGGACAGACACTTGACCCAAAACAATTGTTTGTTTGTTCGTTCAAATACTTTTTCCGTGTGGGATTCGAATTTCGTTCAATACAGCACGAAGCAGCCAAATTTCCTCGCCGCTACCGCACTGCACCCAACACACACAACCCACAACACTCTCGACACCGCTACTATTACCACTAACACTACTAATATCACCAAGACCACTACTATTATTATCACAAGGATGATATTACCCTTACTATAACGACCACCACAAATTCTACAACTTTTACTCCAAGTACTACTACTCATCAGCAACACCACCACTACTGTTACTATCACCAACACCACCTCTTCTACTAAAACTATAACCCCATCTCCACTGCTATCATCAGCACAACTACTATCACAAGGACGTAACTACTTCTATCTACACTACCACTCCACTACAACTATTACTCCTGGTACTACTGCAACCAACACCACCACTATCACCATTACCAACACCATTACACCACTACCGCTAACGCTGTTTTACACGTGTCTTATTTCAACTTTACTCAGCGACTTGATTACTTTCGTGTGAACATTGAGTATGACACTCACAAAATGGAATGGAATGATAAATTTTCTGACGCCCACACCATACGACCAAAATATAGTACATGGTGGTTTTCCTTTTTAAATTCAAATATTTCCTTTTCTTTTAATACTTACGTAGATTTGCTTTAAATTACCTACTACGATGTAAACACTACATGCGTGAAATATATGTGTAGCTATTGAATCAAACTAGTGTAAAAAACTATTTTCATTAAATAGCTAGACATCTATAAACATACTATAAGTCTCTTCTGCATAGATCGAACCTAAGATTAACAATTATTAAGTTGAAGGTATCCTTGATTACCTATGGTATTGGGACATTCATGACTATGGGTTCTGCAAAGTACTCCAAACGGTGTGAATATAAAAATAAACTAATTAAATGCGATAAAATCTGTCAAAACTAGTTTCATATGTGTAGTGTATACATTAAGTGTGTAGCGAATTTGAACTAAAACCCACGTATTATTTGAAAAATCGTCAGATTTTTTCAAATCTGCGTCACCAGCACCACCAATAGATACAAACACAACAATTTATAAACAATAATTTATTTTCATCCCAACAGATATCGTTACACCCTAGATGAACTACCAGCGATGTTGGAGAAATTAAAAAAGAAGTCGGAACTGTTCCGTGAGTGGGCGGAAGCAGTACAAAATGCACTGGACCCTGATACCCCCAAGACATGTGACCTGGATGGTCTACGGGCGCATTTGCGACGGGCTCACGAACTTAAGGTAACTGTAGTTATCATCATTATCGCATAATAAAAGTCCACTGGTGAACATATGGCCCCCCAAAGGTATACCACGGCCCTGAGCCACCTGCCTCCATTGACTTGCTATTGCATGTCTCACCAGTTCATCAGTCCATTTAGTGGAAACTTATTTGACCATTGGTTAATGTGTGATTGATTGATTATTTATGAGAGTCCCTACTATTTTAAAATGGTCATTAATTATTTATTACTACTTCAAACAGATGCACAAAACTGAGCTAGTTCGTGCTCTAGAAATCGCAATAGAAGATGCTGAGAAGTGCGCATCGGTGATCCAGCAGTTGGACTTGAACAAGATGCGAACCCGGACCCGTCATCACGACCCGAAGTACCGGCTAACGATCCACGAGCTGACCCTGTTCGCTGCTGAGATCGACGGTCTGGCCTGTGTGTTGCCCGAAGGTAAGTTTAGGAAATAAAATCTCTTTCCTTTTTATATTTAAAAAAAAAAACATTCCCTTTTTTCCATTAGGATTTTCTCCTGTATAGTGGAGGTAGTTTACAAATATACATTGTACAAGGACAAACATCCAGACCCGGAACAATTTTTTGTAGGCTATTTGCATTCATCGACTTCTTGTATGTCTTACTAGGTCGTCACTTCATTTTGTGTAAAAATGTGTCATTCATTTATTTCTAGTGAAATGATTATTCCAATATTTTTTAGTCTTATGAACCTGGTCATTAGGTTTGATCATTCAAATGGATCATTTCTATTTTCAGTACTCTGATCTGTCAGACCCCCTCGATAATGTCGGTTGTCGGACATTACTATACTCTTTGGTCCTAGGTCCTTTTTCCTTTGTTCTATTGATTATGGAAAATGAGTAATTGTTAATCTTTGCCAACAGGTTCAGCAGTAAAAGAAGTATTAAGACAAACGGAGGAATTTGAAGATCGAGCTACAGACTTATTAAGCAAGGAGTTGGAAGAAATAGACAGTGGTTCTGTTCGGGAGTTGGAGGAGGTAAGTTTGTTTATGTAAAGAAGGCACATGAGCGTGACACAATAACAGTTTAGGCATATGACACAATAAGACTACGCCCACACGGAGTGGGACGAACGCAAGCAGGACGATGGACGGGCTCCGTGAGCTGGCAGTCAGAGGCAACTCACAAACCGGTTACATAGCTCAAATAAACACCACAGGGGCGATAAGGTGATCAATTTATAAACCGTCATCATCATTGCCTTTCCCCTTTTTAACCAGTTGAAGTATTACTCTGTATCAAATGAAGCTGTAAGAGCTATAATAGGCTAACAGCACTTTCATCACACAAAATAGACGATTATGTAAAGAATATAAAATTAAAATAGCAAGGAAAAAAATAAATAAAAAATGTCTCGTCTAAGCTAATTTAGACTAATTTAGTCCAGTCTAATCTAATCCATTTTAGTCTAGTCTAGTTTTACCGTATGCTAGCGGTGTAAGAATATCCACTACCCCATATAACGTGGTAGTTGTAAGAGGCGACAGAGGGAAATGTAAGCAGCTGATCAAACTGTTCTTGCCAATCTTCTTGACATAACACAATAGAAATAAATAATATCAGTGGACTTTTGATAGGCCCTAATGCAACGTTTAGATACACGCCGAGCATATACAACTAGACAGACATGAGTACGAATAGTCACGACCACGAATATATTCGGGTGTACCCGCTACTCGGCCCGAGAAATCTGTTCTCCATATATATATATATACATATAAATATACATATATATATATACATATACACATATATATATATATATATATATATATATATATATATATATATATGAAGAACAGACAATTAGAACAATATATAGATATAGGTGTTAACACGAATCAAAGGAATGTTATTCATATCGGTATTATTTACATACATACTCGTCATTATTCAGTTGATCCGTGATTTTATCGAACTAATACCGTTTAAAAAAAAATGTGTACTCCGTTCAGCTAAAATTAAAATTTTACAAGAGCAAAACTACTTTTATATACTCTTTTCAATACTATTTCTATGACTATCGCCTTTTCATCATTTTTTTCATTTAAAATATTAGTGAGTCTATAAAGTTAAGTTGACACAATGTCGTAAGAAAGAGATGTATGTCATATACGTTTAAATTTTTTTTGTTGAATGGTAACAGACAAATGTATAAACGCGTCGTACTCATCCACATACATACTCGTACTCTAAGCCTGCGCGTTATTCGGTGAGTTGACTGATAATAATCTAAAAGTGCCATATGGTAATGGCTCCAGTCAAGGGCATAACTTTACCTGTGTAAGGGTTGAATTATACTGTTTGTTGAAGCGCAAGAGTTATTCAAGGTGAAGTTAGTTCACGTTAACTATGATATCCGGGTATCATACAGAGAATACTATAATACTTATATAATAGAACGGGGGAGTGGGCGGAGCCCGTGTAGCCACAAAAATGTCACTAACATGTCAATTTACACGTATAACTGTCAACATGAGATGTGTTTTGACGTTACAATCGTTTCCAAATTTCGCATGCAAATTATTTAGAAAATGTCAAATTGCACACTATTTACAAATAAATATGTATTAAAATTTAAAATATTTTTTTTATGATGATCTTGAACATTAATCAAAAGTTTAAAATGTTTTAATTTACTCTCTCTCTCTTAATGTCACACAGCTTTGTAGTAGTGATAATACGACGTAATTGCTTATTTGTGTGCTCCCGGCGACGCCGACCCTCGTACAAAATAAGGTTGACAGCCATTCTATTGTGTATTATAGTATTCTATGGTATCATACATCACTTTTATCACTGACACATCAGCCTTTATCATGAGAATTTGACAATGTAAATATAAGAAAAAATATATTTACTTCACAAATATTATATTACTTTTTAATTATTTCTTTAATTTTAATGTATTTTTTTAATTTTTAACTTATAAAGGTTGTAGAACTGGGCTCCCGTCTATGCATTGTGTTGCCACAACTGAGTGCTCTACAAGCCAGGCTACAGCAGGCTCGTTGGCTCGACGAAGTTCGGACGTTACGTGAAGATTGTGCCGCGCTAACGCCACCCGTTTTAGAACGATTGTTGACGGATGCTGATTCTGTGTTACCGCATCGGAGAGTCGAACAAGAGAGAGCTGCGTTATATAAGCTTAGAGGTAATTTTCGCATAATTTCATCGTTTTTCTTGTTTAATTAAGTAGTTGTGAACTAAAGTGTATGTAAAGACCTTCCCAAGCAAGCTTCATCAATAATAATTTCTAATATTTACGCAAACACTACACATTTTCCACGTGGTAGAGCCATGCTGGAGCTATACTAATTCTATAATTGTTGCACGAATGGGTCGGCTCGATTGGGGAAGGACCACGCTCTCACAGAATATCAGCTTCAAATAGCAGATTAATGCTGCTGTGTTTCGTACGGTGAGTGTAGAGAACCGGAGACCCTTTTTACTGGAAAAGAGGCATTCCATCTTAGTCCTCAAGGCTGACAACGCATCTTCATTTTGATTCGTAAACGAGAATGGATGTAGATATCTATGGGCCCAGCAATACTTACCATCAGGTGGACTGTGTGCTCGCCTGTCACCCTTTTCCTATAAAAAAACATTTAAATGAAATTAATTTTCAGGTCCCATGTCGTGGTTAATCCCACAACTATCTTTAGTTTAAAATTTTTAATTTTTATTCCGATAAACGCAGAATGAGTTTTATATATTTTTTGATAGATTTTTCTGGCAATCCTCATAGTTGCAAGAACTAGGTGAATGGGGTGGTGGAATCTCTTACTCTGCCACTTCATTGCGTACTTCTTTTAATAGAATGGTAAAAATATGAAAAATACGATTAAATAATTATCATGAGTTTTGTTTGTGTTAATTTAAGACTTTTCTGAAAGATATCTATTATCTTTTGTGGAAAGCATGGACTTCCAATTCTAGGAAACATTACCTTACAAATTAATAGCATAAAATAGCAGCTTAATGTTGCGTTGTTTTGTATGGTGAGTGTAGAGAACAGGAGACACTTTTTACTGGATATGAGACATTCTATCTTAGAGGTGACAACCCTTCTGTATATTGATTCTTAACGAAGGATAAATGTAGAAGTCTATGAGCCACACTATCCACTTACTATCAGGTGGAACTGCGTGCTCGTTTATAACTCTTATTCTATAACAAAAAATTGTTGTCTTATCCACTAAATTATCGGAATAAACTTTATTTGCAGCACAAGTCGAAGATTGGGAGCAAAGGGCCCAAGCAGTACTCATTGACAACCGGGTTGAAGGTTCAAGCGAAGCGCAGCATACAAGCCTGGCTGAACTAGATGCTCTGCTGGCTGAAGGCGATGAGATCGAAGCGGCGTTACCCTCTCACCATGCTCTGCACCAGGCTGTTGCACACGCACGCGACTGGCTCGCTAAGGTCAGTATCTCATAGTGTTTTTAGATCTGCCTGTGCGGGGTTGCCCGCGCAAATAATTGATTTTCCTTCTGCGCCTGTTGCCTGCTCAGGATTAAAAAATTGCATCTATTGTGTCTTTCAATATACGCTCCGTTATACGTACGCAAACACACCTGCACACGTGTACCTTTCCGGTAGACCGTAGCGTGAAAAAAAAGCACTCAAAATACTGCCACATACAGTTTACATTGAAAACGACGACTAAAAGGAAAATAACCAGCTATTTCTTCTTGCTTGTTTTTTTGATGTAAAGTTATTTTTCAACCTCATTGTTGTGAGTGTCTACAGACATGTTATATTATTTATGATACATTTGAAAAAAAATATGAAGGAAGTTTTTGTTAAGCTTAATAAACAGAATAAATCAGTTGTCAATATGTGGAGACTTTAATATCAATCCTATAAGCTTCCGCCATAAATATTAAATTTAAATGATCATTGTGTAAATCATATGATCTTAATTAAACTAAGTTTGTATAAAGGGGGTTATTATAATATTAAGGAATTTACGGATTATAATAATACCTGGGAAGGGTGATCGCTACCAAGCTATTTCTAATTTATTATGCTGTTATTTTTTTACCCCAGGACAGAGGTTTTTTCCTAACCAGTGGTAATTTTAAAAAAGTGACTTTCAATAAGTATTATCTATAATCTATATTGAGTAAAAAAGTTTGTGTTTTCGTTTCACTTGCTAAGCTTTTTCGGTTGGTCTTTAATAGGTTGTAGGTTGAATTCTCGTAGCTGCTTCCCGGAGTAGAGTTTACTTTCGCGTTTCCGAAATAATTAATTCTCCGATCGCCAGCGCATGTCTTTATAGTCAATAAAGATATATAGAACTTTCCAGGGTAATTCGGGTCGTTCCACTCTTTCAATCGGAATGTACTAGAACACTCTAGGTGACATAATGATAACGATATCCATATGAGAAAAGCCTTTATACATGTAGCCTTTTGTACAAGTAGTTTTTTTGCTTGTATTTAGTTTAGTCCGAGTGTTGTCTATTTTTTGTCTACACATTTTATTACTTATTGTTGTGAACATTCTCGTGCAATGTGATGTAATGCGCAACTGGTTGTAGTAATAATATTATGTAAACTTAAAAATTAAATAAAATTACGGTCGAAGGTACATGGGTGAAAATAAATCTAGGCTTGCATAAATTAATATCTATACTACAAATAGTAACATAGGAAATGTAATATAGTATATATAGTAAAAGTTAATAAGAATTATATTAAACAAATAGAAAAAAAATTTCTTGTCAGGTTGAAGAAATGCAGTCTAAAGATCTGTATCCATATATGCACAGTGTAGAGAATCTTGTGAAACGCGGACAACAAATACCTTTGGCTTTATTCGAGAAGGACCAGTTGGCAGCTGCATTGCAGTCTGCGAAAGAATGGAAAAGAGGCGCAGCGGAAATGTTTCTTAAAAAGGTAAGTAAGCTTTGTAATGTTATTTACAAGTGCTAAAATTATAAATTAAAATAGTGAACATGATGATATATACCCATGTGTTGGAAACTATCTTTGCTCTTTTTTGGCATTATCTAGTCGTTTTTTGCAACATGTACGCGATAAAATGTTTTTGTGGTTAGTTATGTATGAGAAAAGAATATTCGCAGAATTGGCCGTACACCTTGCTGGAGGCGCTATCGCCACGTGCGGAGGCGCCTGGTGCGGGTGTGGCAGGGGGCGCGGCGGGTGCGGGTGGCGCGGGGCGGCGGCGTGCGCGCGAGGCGGCGGGCGACGCGGGCGGCTTCCTGCAGCAGTTCAGCGAGGACGCCACGCCTACGGAGATCGTGGCCGCCTTCAAGCACGCCGAGCAGCGGGAGCTCGCCGCCATAAAGGACCTTAGGTGGAAACTGCTCCCCGAACCTATCACTATACTCAACTAAATCAATTCTCTTATGTGTATCAAACTGAGAATAAAGTTGGATTAGTTGTGAACCAAACGCTCCACGGAGCAGAATCTACACGTCACACGACGATACGGCAAACGCAGGCGGAGATGGGGAGACAAATTCTACGGTTACGTAATTTTGTTCGGAATCGTTATGATGCTTAAATTACGTAAAGCAGATGTATGTAATTATGGTAGCTTGTTGTTTTATAAAAATATACATGATAATTACATTCAGAGACCAACATTTTTCTGACATTTTAAAAATCCGTTATGCTATTTATTTATTTAATATTTGTGATGTGAAAAATGAAAATTTTACTTATTTGCTTAAATATTTAAATTTATATACATAGCAGTAAAGTATCCACAGTTAAAATATAAATTAAATATAATTAAAGTGCATACATTAACTATTTAGGTACTTAACATTAAAAATTAAACATCAAAAATTATAGTTTAATATTAGTTGTTTTTGTAATATATTCCTTAAAGGTTTGTATTGTGTACTAAAATGGATCAACATCTCAGAAAATACTATTAGAAGATTATAACATAAAACATAGAAAACATATGAAATTTGTTGGTCCTTCGAACATTTTAAATTTGAATAGATAACTATTACCTCAATCTCTGAAAACTAAAGTGTATAACAAGTGTGTGTTGCCAGTGATGACTTACGGATCTGAGACATGGTCCTTCACTGCTGGATGTATGAGGAGGCTCAAAGTCGCTCAGTGAGCTATGGAGAGGGCTATGCTCGGAGTTTCTTTGCGTGATAGACTCAGAAATGAGGATATCCGCAGTAAAACCAGAGTGACCGACATAGCCCAACGGATTAGTAAACTGAAGTGGCAATGGGCCGGCCATATAGCTCGAAGAACCGATAACCGATGGGGAAGAAAGGTTCTCGAGTGGCAGCCTTGTACCGGTAGGTGTAGTGTAGGGTGACCCCCCACTAGATGGAGTGACGCCCTGGTATGACATGCAGGAAGTCGATGGATGCAGGTGGCTCAGGACCGTGCTTTGTGGCATTACTTGGGGAAGGCCTATGTTCAGCAGTGGACTTGTGAAGGGCTGTAATGATGATGATGATGATATAATAAATATATATAATGACATGGATTTCTTGTTCAGTGACGCAGGAAATCATTTCTGTAGCAACATCTATCTATTTTGTTCATGGAGATCTGCAGGTGGGGAACTGGTATCCTAAGATATAATTATTACATTTTTTTTAGGCACTAGTTTTTCACATATCAACAGTATTGTTTCAGATATAAGCACATACTCTTTGTTGCTTTCTTTAACGTATATTCTTTATGAAAAAAATTTGATGATTAGTGTACTTTGAGTATAATTGTTAACCTACTGTTATTTTATGAAACAGGGCTCTTAACATGCGCAAAGAGGTTCGTTCCGCTCCAACTGCCGGCGTAACGTTTTGCCTGTGCCAAAAGAGACAGTTCGGTGTTATGTCACAATGTGAACTCTGCAAAGACTGGTTCCATGGTAAGTTTATTAACAAGGTTATAAAGTTTTTTATATGGTTATATTTGTGGTATATGGATAACATTTCAAAGAGCTAATACCATTTCTTAAAAAATCCAATGTGTTTATTGATTAAAAATTCTAGTACATATGAAACTAGATACGAATATGAGAGCGATGAGCGACGAAATATAACGATTTTCGATAACAACGACAAAACGATAATTGTTGATCACAACATATCTATTTTTGATGTTGCCTGTTTCTGGGATGAGCACTTTATATCTGGTATAACTTTGAAATGTTTATACTATCATCTACCGTGTAATGGCGGTATAAGAATATCCATTCCCATGTATCGTCCCGTGGGTGTTGTAGGAGGCGATGAAGGCAAACGAACAGGAGATGGGCAGCAGCGTCTTTTTAATAACAAAAAAAAAAAAAACTACAGTTGTCAGCCCGCTTACCGATCATGGTAATTCGTGCAAATATCCCCTTATGAGGCAATCTATGGTGAGGCTATCCAGCAGTGGCTTTGATAGTCTATTATAAATTATATAATAGTATAATATCAAAATCTTACTGAATTATCGGCTGGTCATTGTTAAGTTTTGGATGTTCTTTGGATTATCTCGGTGTGAATATTTTTCTAGTAAGACAACACTTGAAAATTGCTAAATTCATAATAAATAATAATGTCCTCTAGACCGAATTTCGGCCACGGAGGCTAGCCATCGGCGCAGGACAGGATTATAGTGCCCAAGTGTATGCGCAAGCACAAGTGCACTTATTCCTCACTCTCAAAGGGGGGAAACACACCACACCAGAAGAGAAAGGGCCCAAGCCAACCCCGACTCCGGGCAGACCTCTGTCACTCTTGCTACCTGCATGAAATAATTACCTAAAATCGCGACGCGCCCGGGCGAAATAACGCAGTTAGGGCTAGCGCATTGGAGGTGATTGAATGTTAAAGTTTTTTAACGCTGTTTACGTAAATAATTTTATGTAAATAGTTATTGAAATAGTTTTTGTTTAGTGTTTAGTATATTTAATTGTAGGTAAAAATAGTTGTAAAAGTTTTAATGTAGGTATTTTAAAAATTATATAATTATGTATAACCTATTTGATAAATTATAATAGCAAAACGTCGTTCCTACGATAACTGTTGCTTAGATGGATACTACACGAAATGACCAACAAAAGGTTTCAATATCATTCTTTAAGTTACCGAAGAATTTAAGAAGGAAGTTATGAAAGGTGAATTTATTAATTTTTTTTGTTAGATAGGTACTTTATCAAGAAAGAATTAAGTTATAATTTGGTCTACAGAAGAAATACCTCAGTACTTCATTACAAAAATTAGTTAAAATTTACTTCACTATCCAAGTATTTACTTACATACCTATACTTGTCTTTTTTAATTAAAATATTTTAAGTTATAATAACACAAAATACTGAAATTAAAATTTTGTGTACTAACGAGATTTTTAACTAAGTAGAATAGATCATGTTTCTGTTAGAAATCGTATTTCAGGTTTATTTGTTGTTTACACTATCTACCTATTTCTCCCAAGAGTTGCGATTCTCGACCTTGCAATTTGCATGCGTTAGGCATCGCAGAACTCACATAGGGGCGAAAGTATGGTCAGTCGATCATAGTCAGAATATTAGTTAGTACTTCACCTAAGTAACATAATTAACATTTCGCAATGTATTTTTTACTTTCTATTGACATCCCTTAATAACCATGGAAAGTCCCCCGTGACCTAGGAAGCGGAAAAGATGCAAAGTAATATGGACACTAGCGTGCAGCGATAAAGTTTTATTTAGCTTGCGTGCACGATTTATCTGATTAATAATAATTATGTAGGCTATTAAACGTCGGCAATCAGTCGACATCAAAAGAGTGCAACTTCTGTACGTAGTACTATTATTTATTCTGTGCTCCGGGCAGCTACTGAGAATTTCTTGACGGAAAAACTCAATAATTGATTTTTTTGGCCCGACACGGGATTCGAACCCAGGACCTCATGATCAGGAGTCCCACTTCTACAACCAGTAGACCAACGAGGCAGTCACAATAAATAATAACCAATATATTATTGTATTTCTAGCTTCCTGTGTAGCGTCAGCAAAAGAGGAACGGGAAGACTCTCCAGACCGAGTTGAGTTGCCTTACCCGACCACTGAACAAAAGTTTCTGTGCCCTGACTGCATGAGGACGAAACGGCCGAGGTTACATCGTATATTAGCTTTATTGGTATGTCCTATTTCATCGTGGATTGATCTATGAAAGTTACTTTAATGACCGTAATTTTAATGTTAAGCTGCGTATCGACTTCGTGCGGCTGCCGCGCGAGCAGTGTTCGCCCGCGGCTAACCTGTGTTTTGGCTCACGAGACGAGTTTTAGCGCACAATTTAACTACAGCGAGGCGGCCCGCGCGGCAGTACGGCCGATCCGCCAACTAACATTCATTTTGTTCGCGGCAGCCATGAACGTTGTACGTCGGCGAAGTGCAGCGGCTGCTTTTATGATTATTTATCATATTATTCACATGAGATCGAAGTGAAATGTTCGTTGGTGGATGAAAAAAATATAGTGCATTGGGGTAAGATCGGTGATGGGGTAAGACCGTAAAATTCAAATTTCCGGTGAATTATGCTATATATATTTTTGAAAGCAAGCAATATGGTACAAGACTCCATTTTATTCTGCTCCAACCCCAAGTTTTAGCCAGTCGCTCTGAAAAATAGGGCGTGTGCTGCGCAGTATTTTATAAAACAAGGTAATTTTTGTATTTTTTTCGTCCGTCCGGTCTTTCCCTATCACTTTTATTTGCTATTTTTAGCGACGTCCGGTCTTATCCCTTGATGGCCAATTCTTCATCATGCATATAAAAAATTATGCCTTGTTTTCGCACACGTTTTAAGCAGAAACTGTTGAGTTTTGAAAAGTAAAAGCTTCTTATAGCTAAATTACGTGTAACCATTAACGATTTGCGCCATGTTTCAGAAATCTGACGTATATGGATGTAGAGAGAATAAAGTTTTTGTCCAACTCTTTTTTTAACTAGTCAAAAATCGTCCGGTATTCTCCCAACGCACCTTATATATATATATATATATATATATATATATATATATATATATATATATATATATATATATATATATATATATATATATATATATATATATATGAACTGAATGCTACATGGTAGAACCAGTAATAGGGCTTTTGTTTACTCTAGACTTCTCCCTTGTATATATGACGCTAAACGAGTGGTCGTTTTTAAGTTCAGTTACAGACGAGCCCATTTCTGCACTGATGTCATTCCAAGCATCTTTTTTAATGATTCGTTGTGATAATCACTACATTTACTGTTCCATAGAAATTGTTTAGTACCATAGATTCTAATCAAAGTACGACACTTGTCGTTATCAAAACCTAACGAGAGCACAACAAAAACAAACGCCATCAATCACCCCTGTAACCAAACAACGCCAAAAAACCAAAAAAAACAAAAAAAGACCCTTTTTTACTGGAAACGAGACCATCTTAGCCTTGGTGACAACAGACGACGGTCTTAGTGCAGGTGACAACAGATGTGCATTTTGATTTTTAATCGAGGAAAAATGTTGGTGTCTTTGGGCTATGGCATCCACTTACCATCAGGAAAAAAAAATAACCTGGTTTTTGCCTATAACATGAACTTTTGAAGTAATCTAGTTTTACTTTAGTAAAATAACACATAAATTTTATGTTTTAAATAAATTCTACATTGTGAACAGTGCTAGTGCTGGCTCAGCTCATCATTTCAAGTAATACCAATAACATGTGAATGCTTATTTTATGTATCATCTTTTTCAGGTTTGGTTGCAGAAGTTGCCAGTGCGATTAGCAGAGGGCGAAGCTTTACAGTGTGTGACAGAACGAGCCATGGCGTGGCAAGATTCTGCCAGGGCGTTGCTGGCAGCTTTACCACACCAGCAACAACCTGAACACCGAAAGGATGGCACTTCGCTTGCCTCCAGGTATAATAATAATTATGTCTTAATAGCATGTAAATATTGTTACGAGCTTAGGGTTCGTGACAATAAAAACTGTCGATTGAATTACCAAAATTGACACTTTAATTACCGGCATACACATAACATACTAATAATTAATCACACTTAACACTTTAGTTCACTGTTGTATTGCCTCAAAGTCTTCGCTTGTGTCGCCAATTCAATATTGCCCCGGTCGCGGCCCTGAACGGCTTTATATAGGCCTTTTACAGCGAAACATCTAGCATATTCCAGCAAATACCGGTACCGACCGACTAGGTGTAGAAAATTCGAGTGTGGAATTTTCTAGAAAGCTTAGTTCTGCTATTCGATACTAGATGGCGCTAGTGGAAGAATCCTAGAAAGATCTTGACGCTCCTATTTCTGCTGCTTGTAACCAGATGGCGCTAATAATCACCCGCCATATACCAGGCTTTAATTATAGCGCGCAACAATATAACGCTCTGTGCTTGATAAATGGCAGTTATCTTGATATTACAGACATACACTTTAATTTTATTTATCTTAAGTAACAATGCGGTGAATAAAACTATTTATACGAATTTTATCGCGTTTCATTAACTTGTTTTAACTTATTTTTAATTCCCGACGTTTCGTTGTCATGGGACGGACTGATATTTTGACGTCCTAATGTTATAGCTCGTTTACCTTCAGTTTTTGAATATTGTAGCAACAGTATCTTGAAGTCTTAGTGTAGTAGTGGTAATGCTTGGGTTTGGATTTAATTTTGTTAATTATAGGAGCCCAAGAAGATAGCAGCACCCATCCATTTTCTCTGTCAAAATTAGGATGTTTTTAATTTCAATAGTCTCGCGTATCATTCTTGGTAGGAATCGGTGTTCTTTTGCGAGGATTTGTGGTTTATTAAATCTGATGTAATGGTGAGAACCCGAAACGTCGGGAAATAAAAATAAGTTAAAATAAGTTAATTAAAATAAAATCCGTGTAAGTAGTTTTATTCAGTGTGTTCGCGTAAATTTAAGAAATCATTATAACAGCGCGGTATTGAATTTAATTCTTTTTTTTTAGATCGTCCGCAAGTGTAGAGCACGCGTATAGTGCGACACCTAGGTCACTAAGCACAAGGCTGACACCAGGATTATTACAGAAGTTAGAAGACCTCATGTTAGAAGGAGATTTATTGGAGGTAAGAGTATTACTTTACTCATGGACCTGCTGAACATTTTTGATTTTAGTACTCAAAAAGTTCATCCGTGTTGTTTCAAGGTAAAAGAATCGTAAGAGTCGTAAGTGATTATCATCATCATCATTATCATTACTGCTCTTCAAAAGTCCACTGCTGAACATGGGCAAGGAATGCCACAAAGCAGGGTCATGATTCATCTGCATCCAACGACTTCTTGCATGTCTTACCAGGTCGTTACTCCACAATCGTGGTAGAGCCACGCGGCATTCTTTGCTGTTGCACGCATTTGCCTGCTCAAACTGGGGTGGTACCACGAACTCACAGAAGACCAGCGTGAAGTAGGAGGCTTTGCTTCTGCGTTTCGTCTGGTGAGTGCAGGTGGCCGGAGACCCAATCCTCCCCACCCATCAACATATACCGGAATTAAATGCAAGACCAGGAGGGTACCAGCACTCCTAGAGAATCCCTCGCTGAGCATCCACGACTAAGCTACTCCACTCCTGAGCGTGGGTGCTAAGGCTGCCCCACATATTCGGGGGGGGGGGGGGGGATGCCGTTCGATACTAAACCTACTTGGGGCAAACGGATCAATAAGTCAAAGGCGACCCCTGCCATCCGTGAATTTCTGCAACATCAGGAGACTTCATTCAAACCTTCGCCCAGATAAATGGCGAAGCCGGCTTTGCTCTTTCTAACCGAGACACAGCTGTCCCCTGATACTTCGTATCTCTCTTTCTCGGGGTACAAATTAGCTCCTTTGTGCCCCGGACTGGAGTTTGCGTGTACGTCAGGGCGGACATCTTTTTTCGACGCCCCGGCAGCCAAGTATGGACCTGTCTATCTTATGGCTGCGCGTAGACAGCGACGACCAACTCCGCGTCTACGGGTGCCTCTATAGGTCCCATAGCGGTAATGCCGAAACAGACCGACTCATCGACCACGTCCAAAAATGGCTACAAACTCCGTGCTACAACAGATCCCATCCGCAGAGATCGTGATACTTGGTGATTTTAACGCCCACCACGCTGAATAAGCCATTCAGCGTGGTGGGCGTTAAAATTTCTCGTTCTGGTTCTCGTTTAACCGATCATGCGGGTAGATCTGTTTATGACTTTGCTTTGGCATATGGTCTGACACAACTGGTTACCTCGCCTACGCGGATCCCAGATGTGGAAGACCATGTACCTTCCCTGTTGGACCTTCTGCTGATCTCATCTGGGCGGATATCAGGTTTCCGTCGATGCCTTCCTTTTTTTGCATCCTACCCTTGGAGGCGGGTTTGCTTCTCGCCGGATGATTCCAACGTTGTTGCTGATTCTGTCGCTGATGTGGTGCTACTGGGAATGGAACTTTTTATTCCATCATCTGTGGTACCTATCGGAGGCAGAACCCAGCCTTGGTTTGGTGGTTCCTGCAGGATTACACTACGTCATAAGCAGGAGTGCTACCAGGCCTGGGACCGTCTCGAGATGCAAAATACCAGCGCTCTAAAAAATAAGTACAATTCTGCCTCCAGTTCCTTCAAAAGTGTCATTGTCAAGGCAGTCAAAGCACATCGGCAGAATTGGCGAGAAACTAGTTCGTCTTCCTTCGGGAACACGTGCATTCTGGTCTCTCGCCAAGGCTGTCCAAGGGAACTTCCGTCAGCCATCTCTCTCATCTCTGCACAGGGAGGAGGACTCGCTGGCCTATGTCGCAAAGGACAAAGCCGATCTGCATGGCTCTCTCTTTGCGTCCAACTCGACTCTTGATGTCGGAGGGAACATACCGCCGATCATCCCGAGCTGTGAGTGCTTCATGCAGGATGTCCTGTTTTCTCAACGCTCAGTGCGCAGAGCACTCCTCTCCCTGGACGTCAACAGGTCGCGTGGGCCGGATGGCGTCCCTTTCATTTGTGCTGAAGACGTGTGCTCCGGAGTTGGCACCGTTCCTAACGCGTCTTTTCCGGTACTCCTACTCATAAATGGGCGGAGGCAGTAGAATCCAAGGGGGAGGCGTTGGCCGTTAGTTTGGACATAGCGAAGGTTTGGCACAAAGCGCTTCTTACGAAGCTTCCTTCCTATGGGCTTCCCGAGAATTAGTGCATTTGGATCACCAGTTTTCTTGCTGAGCATCAAGGTCGTAGTAGATGGTGCATGCTCCGATTACAATCACATTAACGCTGATGTTCCACAAGGCTGCGTGCTGTCACCAACGCTGTTTCTTCTGCATATCAATGACATGTTGCAAACCGGTAACATTCATTGCTATGCAGACGATAGCATTGGTGATGCTTTATACACCGGCCGTGTCAATATTGCTTGGGAACACGTCGCCGAGTACCGGGACAAACCTGTGTCTGAAGTCGAAACTTTGTTGAACAAAGTCTCGGACTGGGGGCGACTAAATCTAGTACCTAAAACAATTTTAGCTGTATGACACGTTGCTAAGGTGAGAGTTCCACATTAGTTTTTGGTCAATTGCTACGCCCAAATACTTAACTTTTTCGATAATTAAAAGAATCAGGTGTTACTTGCGGAAATCCATTATATTAAAGTTGTTAGAACTTAATTTGCTCATTTCCGCGTAATAAAATACAATGATGTCAATTGCCCACTTTGAAGAGCACCCACCTCCCACCCTACCTCAGTTACGTGCACTATCCCCTTCACCAACACTTCCAACACTTACCACTCTCAGCACAATTATTCCCAGCACCACCCCTCCCTGCACCACCACACTAGGAACGACATGCCACCCTTGATAATATGACAAGTGTTTCGCTTCTACACGAGGCATCCTCAGATGTAGTAGACTCTGCGGAGGCTAACACTATCTTCATCACCACTAATCCCATCACCATCACTCCTATACAACTCGTTGATCAGCGAGTTGTACAATAAGCAACTGTTTCGGCTTGCCGCTCACTTAGCCTTCTGCCACCGCACAGACTACTTCACCGGTGGATGCCTCGTGTAGACGAAACACGTATCGTGTTATCGAGAGTGGTGTGTCGTTCCTAGTGTGTTGGTGTTGGGTGTGGTGGTACTGGAAGTGGTGACTACGGAGATAGTGCATGCAATTGAGGGGGGTTGGGAGGTGCTCTTCAGACTGGGTAGGACACATCATTTTATTTTATTACGCGAATATGAGCAAATTAAGTTCTAATAACTTCAATCACATGGATTGAAAAATGCCCGAAATTATTGAGTCAAATTCTGGTTGGAATACCATTAATTTTCCTGCTATGTTCGCACCATTATTGTACCCTTGCCCTCGACAATAATATTCATGTCTAAATCAAACACTTGTACAATTTCATCAAGAAAGAGGCCAGTAAGTCCTTTTTCCAAAGAGTCACATACTGGCTTGTAAGCAACAAAATACTCGTACTTTCACTTCCTAATTAGCGTCAACAAAACGCAATGTTAGTGATAAGAGTGAGTGATTTACTGACCGGTGCCCGGTGGGTAGCGTTTCGGTTGATTTCGCATGACGGCACCCGGTGCGGTCGCACCGCTCGCACCGCCCTAGGGCCGCCACTGATCTAATGAGGGGGAGGTCTGTGTTTGGGAGTAGAGTTTTTTGTCTGTATTGGATAGATGGATATTTTAATATCCCGGCTTTGTTTAAGTATGTTTGTCTGTTGTTCTGCGTGTACTGGCAACAAAGTGAAAGTGGTGTGTTGGTTACAGGTGCGTCTAGAGGAGCAGGCGCAGGTGTGGAGCGCGGTGGCGGCGGCGCGTGGCGCGGAGGGACGGCGCGCGCGCGTGCTGGATGCCGGTGCGCCACGTCGCAAGCGCACGCAGCGCGCGCCGCGCCCGCACCGTCAGCTAAAGCGCACACGCAACCACCACCACGGTACGTGCACACTGCTCGCACAAGCGATACATTTGCTGCACCACACTGACACATGCATTGCGACATGTACTGTGTTATGTACTGCACGACACTGACACATACACTGAAACGTATTCTGCGACACATTGGCACACGCACCGCGATATGCACTGCACCAAACTGACATATGCACTGCGCTTTATACTGCACGATAATGAGCACCGCGACATGTGCTGCGCTAGACTGACACATGCACCACGTTATGTATACCAAAACACGTGCACACCATGGAACGCGCTTCACTACATTATAGTCAACCAAATCTAAGAAATACATTTTGACAGCCGTCAGACTTATTGCACCAAGCATGCCAACCAAAAAATGGGAATGTAAAATATTCGATTATTAAAAAAATTGATATCGGTTATTTAGAGTTGGTAATCATTTACAGTTTAGTTTGAATAATACCAGAATAAATTAAAAACGGATAATTTTAAAACACAAGATTTATCAGTTTCTTCGTATTTGTTGTTACTGCTTATTTCTAGAGGCACAGTTATAAAAATTTAAGATTGAAACTAGATTCAAAATAAATTTATTCAATCACTTTCAGTACAACTAGTAGGAGTGTCGTTGTTTCTATTAATTATTATTATTTGATTTTCAATAATGCAGTCAAAATTAATGTCTCTTTCAAAGTTATCCATAATTCCACTTTTGCCCAATCATCCTTTGTGACATGGGCACATGCTTCAACGAATTTTTCCTCCTGGTGACAAACGAGCACACGGTCCACCTGATGTTAAGTGGATGCTATGGCCCATAGACATACACATTTATCCTCAATTAAGAATCAAAATGCAAATGCGTTGTCACCCCTGAGGACTAAGATGGAATGCCTCGATTCCAGTAAAAAGGGTCTCCAGTTCTCTACACTCACCATATGAAACACATCATCATTACGCTGCTATTTTACGCTGGTATTCTGTGAGAGCGTGGTCCTGCCCCGGTTGAGCCGACCCATTCGTGCTACAACTATAATATAGATGTAGCGTGGCTCTACCACGTACAAAAAGTTATTATAGAAGAAACAGTCCAAAAAGTTAAAGCCGAGTCACAAAATAAGAAAACAAACATAAAATCACAAAATTACGCACAGCAAGCTCTCGAAACAGAAACAGAAACTTTTTTTAATATAGATTATGAATAATACTTTTTTCATTTACCAAGCAAGAAACCCAACGGGACTAGGTTTTTTTTTAAAAATAAGAGCTTACAATCATGCGTGTTACAAACACAAAACAAATTATAAATATCTTGGTAGTGATCACCCTTCTCTGGGCTTATTATCATCCATAAATTCCTTAATATTAAAATAACCCTTTTTATACAAACAAATAAAGTTTATGAACTATGTGTACTTACGTCAAATTTTGTATATTTTCTGGCATTTTGTTATAAAAGCGTATACATCGCTTCGCGCACTGATTCTGTGGAGTCGAGTAACTGGTATCAAAATGGCGGGATATTGAAATTATGTAGTGGTTATTTTAGCACGGCCGTGTATATGAGTTTTTTGCCTACAAAAATTTACTTTGACAAAGTGAAAAAAAAACTTGTTTTATTCATGATTCATGTAATTAAAGAATTTTTACATTTAAGAATTTAATGATTCGATTATTAGAATATTTTTACTGATTATTTAATTATTTTGCCGATTATTCGCTTAACAATGAATTTTAATCATCCAAACACTACAGTATTAAACATAGCGACATGTCATTGAAACGACGTCAAGTAAAAAAAGTTAATACTGGTTATTTTTTAATATTTTGCTTTGTTTGAAATATTCAAATTTAAATTAGTGATAAAAAACCATACACGTTGTAATGAAATGTAGATTTCTTCATAATTCTTTGGGTTTACGTAAAAGGTTATTTTAAATCATGTGAGTACGCTTGTGCAAAGTTATTGCGGAATGATTAATGTGAAACGTCAAAAGGTATTTCTTAGATTTGGTTGACTATAAATACACTCGCCATCATATGTCCTTAATAACACCATGTCTCGTGCTCCCGACAATGACACCTGCATATCCACAACATTGACATGTCAAGCACAGCATTATGCATATCTATCTATATCTAGCATAGCTAAAAGCTGTTGTGTTTCGTATGGTAAGTGTAGAGAACCGGAGACCCTTTTTTACTGGGAATGAGCCATTCCATCTAAGTCCTCGGGGGTGACGACGATCTGCATTTTGATTCTTATTGGAGGATAAATGTAGATTTCTATTGGTCACAGCTTCCACTTACCATGGACAGTGTGTTCGTTTGTCACTAGCTCCAACAAGGAAAAGACATTTAAAATGAAAGACATTTAAAATGAAAATGTTTATTCCTACAAAGATAACAATTGTTTTTCTATCAAAAATTGACACTAAATTTCTTACGTACACTCTTACTGATACATGGTTATTAAGCCCTGTCTTGTGATTTTACCGTATCTATAGAATGCACCTTATCCTAAATTCTAAGGGCCGATTTTTCAACCCTCAAATAATATTTATTCATAAAATGAAATAAAATTAAAAATTACAATTATATGGCTTAATTGTTTTTTTTGACTTTTATATTTAGTCAAGTTACAATTAATTTAGCGGTGTACGAATGTCCATTATTTTATTTATTTATTTATGTGTATACAAACTGTTAATTTGCTCTATATAATTTCTAACTATAACAAATGTGGTCTCTGTATATTATAAAATGAGATTGTCTTCATTATGATGACTAGATGGCAACTGTTCAGTGATGTCTCAGTGATAGCAAGGGTGAAAACTGGCAGCGATCACTGAATGGTTAGAGCGAGAATTAGGTCACACTGAATCTAAGCATTAAGTTGGAGAGGTTTCGTTTAATAAAGTCAATGCTCCGTCCCCATACAAAACCGTTTTCAGTGCCTTGAATATTGCAATGCAGTGGACGATATGAATGACAAGCTCGTGGAAAATGTCCATGCGGTCAGATCTAAGTTCTGCAAGACCCGCCCCAGAAGAACACAAAAACTCCGATCACACTCTTAATCTCATAGCTGTTAGTAGGGGGTTGAAGCTGCAGTGGTCAGCAGATTTGACAGCATACAGTAAACTAAACAGTCAGATCTCCAAATGCATGCGGCGAGACTTCGCAACTTTTATATTGCTCGTATTAAAGGAGCGATCGAGTAAAACCAGGGCTCCAAAGTAATTGCCGGAGATCTGTCTGCCAGAAAGAGCCAACTTTCAAAGCTGAAGACTGAATGTGGCAGCATCGTTTCCAGAACACCTGAGATTTTGAGTGAGATTGAGGGTGCTATGGGCAGCTGTACACATTATCGTTTGAGCCATATGCAAGTGTAACAATCCAAGAGCAAGTCTTATCCGATACTATTCCGATGATATCCCAGACATTAGTCTGAGAGAGATTAGTATGGCTCTCCAGCACCTTAAAAACGGCAAGGCTCTACTCACTACTCCAGAGTTATGGAACAGAAGTGTGGTGGTCTTTGTTCTTAAAGAGAGCATTGTAACCTTTCTAACTACAGACCGATTTCTCTTCTGAACCGCGACTACGTGCTGTTTTCGAAAGTCACTACCAATTGTCTCACGCAGACTCGACGACTTCCAGCCTCCCGAACAAGCGGGTTTCCAAAAATGCTTCAGTACCTATACCAGATACATACCCTGCGGCAGATTGTACAGAAGACCGAAGAGTACAATCTGCCACTTTGCCTGGCTTATGTGGACTATGAGAAAGCCTTTGATTCCGTCGAAATTTGGGCGGTGCTACAGTCCCTTCAGCGGTGCCAAGTTGATTGTCGGTATATCGAAGTGCTGAAGTGTTTGTACAGTAGGGCTACGATGGCTATCCGAGTACAGAACCAGAGTTCGAAACCTATCCAACTGCAGAGAGGTGTAAGACAGGGTGACGTTATATCCCCGAAACTTTTCACCGCTGCATTGGAAGACGTTTTTAAGCTACTGGACTGGAAAAGATACTGTATTAACATCAATGTCGAGTACATTACTCACCTTCGATTTGCCGTCGATATAGTCTTTATGGCAGAATCGCTGGAGGACCTAAGCACTATGCTCAATGACCTTAATGGTGCCTTCCAACGGATAGATCTTAAGATGAACATAGACAAAACAAAGATCATGTTTAATGTCCATGTCACACTTATGCCGGTAGTTGTTGGAAGCACTAAGCACGAAGTTTTTGATAAGGTGAGTCCAACTTCGACCGAGAGGTCAATCGACGGATTCAACTCGGCGGGGCAGCGTTCGGGAAATTACGACATATCTTCTCGTCAGGTATACCTCAATCTCTGAAAACTAGATTGTACAACCAGTGCGTGTTGCCAGTGATGACTTACGGATCTGAGACGTGGTCCTTCACTGCTGGCCGTATGAGGACGCTCAACGTCGCTCAGCGAGCTATGGGGAGGGCTATGCTCGAGGATTCTCTGCGCGATACACTTAAAAATAAGGATATCCGCAGTAGAACCAGAGTGACCGACATAGTCCAACGGATTAGTAAGCTGAGGTGGCAATGGGCTGGCCATATAGCTCGAAGAACCGACAACCGATGGGGAAGAAAGGTTCTCGAATGGCAGCCTCGTACCGGCAGGCGAAGCGTAGGGCGACCCGCCACTCGATGGAGTGACGACCTGGTAAGACATGCAGGAAGTCGATGGATGCAGGTGGCTCAGGACCGTGCTTTGTAGCATTCCTTGGGGAAGGCTTATGTTCAGCAGTGGACTTGTGAAGGGCTGTAATGATGATGATGATGATGATATATTATACTAAGTGTCTCGTAAATTCGGGGGGACCTGGTGACCTATAATACGGGTCTTTGAACCTACAAGGGCAGCACTCTCTCACGAATGACATAATATTGTTAAAGTAGAGATGTAACACTAATGTATCTTCATCTTTGAAAAATCAACCTTTAATATAATCTCTGAAATTATATATTTGAAGTATATTGAGATATTATTATTTTTTATTAATCGTAATTATTCTTTACAGGAACAAGCACAACTAAGACAACAATCAAGCGAGGCTCTGCAACGACGACCAACTATTTAAATAAGAAACAGGTAATTGTAACAATATTTATTTATTTAAACTTCGTTGCACAAATAAATCCAAGGAATAACAAACGCCTTAAGGCGTTCTCTACAAGTACTATTACTTAATATAAAAATTGGATATTACATCTTTATTTTAGCATGCCAGCTACACTAGTTCAATTTTCACGGGCATCACCATGTGTGGAGGAATGTAATAAACGAAAATATCGTGAGAACACTGACAGATTAGGAAATGGGCATGCCTCTTTCTAATAACGACTAAAAAAAACTGCGGTTGCCAACTCGCTTTCCAAGCGTGGCAACTATGGCAAATATTCCCCCTATGAGACAATCTATGGAGGAGGTCTATGTTCAGCTTTTTTCAGACTAACTGTAACGCTAAACTCTTCTCTCTTCTAAAAATATTCTCAGAATTGCTAGGAGGCCGCATCCACGTTCGACTTTTCATTTCTATTTACTTTTGAGGCTGAAAAATTTAAAAAGTAAGGTGTATGATTTAAGACCTACTCAGGAGAGAGACTTAGATCCAGAATAATACCGTTGATGATGAAGAAGAGTATATACCTGACTGAGCAGATATTTATGTTGTTTGAATGTTTTTCTTTAAAATTAATTAAACCGACACCGACAAAAAAATAAATAAAAAAGAAATGAATAAATCTTCATTTAAATTACAAAAATAAATATAAAACATGCTAACATGAATTACAAAAATATAATCTAATTATATATAGTTTTATACTAAAAAAAAAATTGCAAAAATAAAATTATATATTCAACATCACATTGATACGATGTTACCTCTTATATAATTACTTCTTTGTTCTATTTGGCTCTATTTTCATATTCTTCTGGGCTAAGCTCGTTCTTCAAACTGCTTCTCAAAATTATCACTATTAAATATTTTTATAATTCATATTATCTTTGAATTTTTTGTAATATTTTTCTATTAAGTTGATCTTTATTATAGTCAACCAAATCTAAGAAATACCTTTTGACGTTTCACATTAATCATTCCGCAATAACTTTGCACCAGCGTACTCACAGGATTTAACGTAACCTTTTACGTACATCCGAAGAATTATGAAGTTATCTATATATCATTACAACGTGTATAGTTTTTTTATCACTAATTTTAGTTTGAGTTTTTCAAACAAAGCAAAATATTAAAAAATAACCAGTACTAACTTTTTTTACTTGACGTCGTTTCAATGATATGTCGCTATGTATATTACCTTAGTGTTTGGATGATTAAAATTCGTTGTTATGCGAATGATCGGAAAAATATTCAAATAATCGGTAAAAAATTTCAAATAATCGAATCATTAATTTTTTAATGTATTATTTGTTTAATTTAATTTTTATTTTTAAAATTCCTCAAATTACATGAATCATGAATAAAAGTTTATTTTTTTACTTTGTCAAAGTAAATTTGTGTAGGCAAAAAAATCATATACAAGGCCGTGCTAAAATAACCACTACATAATTTCAATATCCCGCCATTTCGGTACCAGTTATTCGACTCCACAGAGTCAGTAATTCAGTCTTGGGGCGATGTATAGGTGCGCTTTTACAACAAAATCCCAGAAAATATACAAAATTTGACGTAAGTACACATAGTTTTAAAACTTTATTAAACTAAGTTTGTATAAAAAGGGTTATTTTAATATTAAGAAATTTATGGATGATAATAACTCCTGGGAAGGGTGATCGCTACCAAGCTATTTCTAATTTCTTTTGTGGTGTTAATTGTAGCACGCATGATTGTAAGCTCTTATTTTTTTTAAACTAGTCCCGTTGGGTTTCTTACTGGTTCTTTCCAGGACAAAGGTTTTTTTTGCGAACCAGTGGTAAATGAAAAAAGTGACTTTCAATAGGTATTATTCATAATCTATATTGAATAAAAAAGTTTCTGCTTCTGTTTCTGTTTCCAGAGCTTACTGTGTGTAATTTTGTAATTTTTTTGTCTTCTTATTTTGTGACTCGGCTTTAACTTTTTGGACTGTTTCTTCTATAATAATTTTTTGTACGTGGTAGAGCCACGCTACATCTATATTATAGTTGTAGCACGAATGGGTCGGCTCAACCGGGGCAGGACCACGCTCTCACAGAATACCAGCGTAAAATAGTAGCGTAATGCTGCTGTGTTCCATATGGTGAGTGTAGAGAACTGGAGACCCTTTTTACTGGAATCGAGGCATTCCATCTTAAGCCTCTGGGGTGACAACGAATTTGCATTTTGATTCTGAATTGAGAATAAATATGTATGTCTATGGGCCATAGCATCCACTTAACATCAGGTGGACCGTGTGCTCGTTTGTCACCCAATGCTATAAAAAATATTCGTTGAAGCATGTGCCCATGTCACAAAGGATGATTGGGCAAAAGTGGTAGAAAAAACAAAAAAATTGATTATGGATGACTTTGAAAGAGACATTAATTTTGTGCATTATAGAAAATGTAATAATAATTATTATAACCAATGACATATCTACGTTCATATTCTAGTTTTACTGAAAATAATTGAATAAATTTATTTTTAATCCAGTTTCAATCTTAAATTTTTATAACTGTGCCTCTAGAAATAAGCAGTAACAACAAATAAGAAGAAACTGATAAATCTTGTGTTTTAAAATTATCCGTTTTTAATTTATTCTGGTATTATTCAAACCAAACTATATGATTACCAACTCTAAATAATCGATATCGATTTTTTAAAGAGTCGAATATTTTACATTCCCATTTTTTGGTTGGCATGCTTGGTGGAATAAATCTGACAGCTGTCAAAATGTATTTCTTAGATTTGGTTGACTGACTATAGTGTATTAAATACTTTCTGTAATGTTCTTTAAAAATTAGTAATTGTTCATTGCATCTATTCCGTTATTATCTTATTTTTTAAAATGTCAATCTAAATAAGTTCCTCACAGTTTACTTTTGTTTTCTTATCATTTTTATGTTTTTCTTTTCTTCTTTCTTGTTGTAGGCCCCTGCGGTGCACGTGCACTGACGGTGCGCGCCCTGACGTAAATGTATTGTATTTCGTACAGCTTAGCTTGTATTGATGAGGAAATTTAAACTAATAATGTATTAAACAAAAACTAAAATGAGCATTTGTTATAGGGAATGTCGTCAGGATCAGGGCTGATGATGAGAAAGCACTATATGGCGAGGCAGGAAAGACGCAAACGAGGTATTGCCGTTTCGACGCGGGGGAAACATTCACGGCAGTCGAGATTAGGTAAGTCTTTAGGTGGTAGAGCCATGCTGCAGCAATATTATGGTTGTAGTACGAAAGGGTCGGTTCGGCCGGGGTAGAACCAGGCTCCGACAGAATACACCAATGTGAAATAGCAGCTTTAATGTTACTGTGTTTCGTAAGGTGAGTGTAGAGAACCGGAGACCCCTTTTTCTGGAAATGAGGCATTCTATCTTAGTACTCAGGGGTGAGAATGCTTCTGCATTATTGAAAATCAAATAATAATTAATCTAAAACAACGACAGCTCAACTAATTGTACTGAAAGTGATTGAATAAATTTATTTTTAATCTGGTTTCAATTTTAAATTTTTATAACTTTGCCTAATAAGCAGTAACAAGAAATACAAAGAAATTGATAAATCTTGTGTTTTAAATTATCCGTTTGTAAGAAAAAATTATCCGTTTTTAAGATTGAAACCAGATTAAAAATAAATTTATTCAATCACTTTCAGTACAATTAGTTGAGCTGTCGTTGTTTTAGATTAATTATTATTTGATTTTCAATAATGCAGACAAAATTAATGTCTTTCAAAGTCATCCATAATCAATTTTTTTTGTTTTTCTACCACTTTTGCCTTTGTCACATGAGCACATGCTTCAACGAATATAGAAAGAAATATGAAATAAGAAACAAGCTAAAAAGTTAAAGCCGAGCCACAAAATAAGAAGACAAACACAAAATCACGAAATTACGCACAGTAAGCTCCCGAAATGGCGGGAGATTGAAATTATGTAGTGTTTTTTTCAGCGCGGCCTTGTATATGAGTTTTTTGCCTATACAAATTTAAGTTGACAAAGTAAAAAAATAAACTTGTTTTATTCATGATTCTTATATTTTAAAGAATTTTAAAAATAAGAATTTAAGAATTTGCAAATAATACATTAAAAATTAATGATTCGATTATTTTAATATTTTTACCGATTACCTATTTGAATATTTTTGCCGATTATTCGCATAACAATGAATTTTAATTATCCAAACACTACGGTAAGGTACATAGCGACATATCATTGAAACGACGTCAAGTAAAAAAGTTGATACTGGTTATTTTTTGGTATTTTGCTTTGTTTGAAGGATTAGAATTTAAATAAGTTATAAAAAACTTTTAAAACTATACACGTTGTAATAAAATATAGATAACTTCATAATTCTTCGGATTTACGTAAAAGGTTATTTTAAATCGTGTGAGTACGCTTGTGCAAAGTTATTGCGGAATGATTAATGTGAAACGTCAAAAGGTATTTCTTAGATTTGGTTGACTATAGAATAGAATAATTTTTATTAAATTTGTACGAATTAGCAAAAAATCCAGCTTGACTCTTTCTTTAAGCAATAATTTATAATTTAATATGTTGTGACATTTAAAAATAGCATTGTAGGGATCACCTTAAAAGCAATTCTTGCTTAATGAAAATTGTAAAATTTTTAATAGATAAATCCTGTATATAATGTTGGTGTATATAATATTGGTCTCCGGCAGCAGCATATAAAACTGTAGATGTGACCGCAGCAGGTGAGCGCGGCGGGGGTGCGAGCGGGGGCGGCGCGCGGCGCGCGGGAGCGGGCGGGGTAGCGGCTGCGGGCGGCGCGCGCCGCGCCAGCGTGTCGTCCACCTCTTCCTCCTCCTCCGACGAGGACTGCGCAGCCGACACCTGTCTGCGACCCACTGGTACCCAATACATACATCCGACCCTCACTTTTTACTGCTTTCTCTTTCACACGCGGTTTTTTTCAAAAACGATATATAACCTGTTATCCTGTTAATCAACCTGTTAATCTTTTTCTTATTTTTATTTACATATTTTTCAGGGTTGTCTGGAAGAGATTACTATGTACCATTAATAACATCTTCTGTTTTTCTCACAATATTGGTTTGTTTTTGTTTTATTGATCTTTCCTTAGTGTACAATAAAGATTACTGTAATGTATCGTATTTTATAGTAAGCAATGTTCCTGTTTATATTTAACACACTCATTTGAACATGAATCATTCAATACAAGTTGATTCTTTGTATAGTGATATCCTTAAGGCTTTCGATAAAGAGGACTCACTATTACTTAAGAAAATCGATTTTAACCTCATAGTGACTTGCTCGGATGATTTTATTCTTAAATAACAAATGGAACTTAAAAAACTTACCGTTAATGGCAATTCATCTTACTTAATTACTGTCACATCCGATGTACCACAAGGCTCTATTCTAGGTCCTTTTTTGTTGATTTTAATAATCAATGACATTATTAAATAATGTCTTAGTCATTTCTTCCATAATTATCTTTCTCTCTATCTATACTCACATGTCTCTATATCTCCTTTCCTCTCTATTTTTTTCTCATTTTTTAAAATTTATTTGTGAAACAAAAAAGTACAAAGGCGAAGTTAACGCCTTATAGCATACTCTACCAGTCAACCTCAAAATTAGCAGAGAACTTTAGAGATGAAATAAAATTTTCGAAACAATAATTAAAGATCAACAAAATTTACCAATTTAGTATATGAACTTCACAACTTAAACTTTAAGAGTTGGACATAAAACCAGGCCGATAAAAGGAACTTGTAGAACTGTAGGAACTTGTACTCTTTTTTTATTTCTTACTTCTTTCTCTTTATATCTTCAACCCTTTATCTCTACTTCCATATTCTTACTTGTTTATCTTCTATGTTTTACTTTTACAGATTTTATGAATGTGTTAATGTTGTAGGATGATCTAACGGTTGGATTCTAACCTAAGTCCTTGGTGGTGTTTTAACATTAAAAGTCACCGATTTTAACTTCGGGTTATTCCGTTTATCCACCTTAAAATAGCCACCCGAAGATAAAATAAGTTAAATATATTCTTTATTAGTAGTGCAAAATGGTAGTATACATCTCAGGGTGGATTTTTAGGGAGGATAAACGGAATAACCCTTATTTGTCCGTAAAAGTCTACTGTTTGGCGTGTTCCTGCCCCGTTGTAGATAGGTTTCGCTTTAACCGTCACACTTGGCAAGTGAATTGACGATCGCATTGTCAAATGTCACACACAGTTTGGATATTTTACGTCTGGCGTAAACAAGATGTTTTATCGCCATCAATCAGATGCTGTTAGATTTTTATGACATTTCTTATAGGCGGCTATCACCCACTAGACTTCTTCTTCTACCTTTCTCACATATTTCTGTCACAACCCTTTCTGCGTTTCTTCCTCTCTATCTGTCTCTCCATAGCACCGCTAATCATTTCCTCTCTAATTCTTTTTCCTTTTTACTACACATTATTCGTTTGTTATTCTAATCAGTGTATATTTCTTCCAGGCAAGGAAGTTGACTGGGTACAGTGTGACGGTGGCTGCGACCAGTGGTTCCACATGCACTGCGTGGGGCTGAGTCGAGCTGCGCTCAGAGAAGACGACGACTACGTGTGCGGAGCCTGTGCTAGGGAGCGCCACTGAACATCTCTGAGCATAACTGAGCAAAACTGTAAAATACTCAAGTTTTGAGTAACTTCACGCTATTGTAATTGAGTATTTAAAAATGGTTTTGAGCATCAAAGGTTACTGATTCGTAACAATAGACATTATCTGAACCCAGTTTGAACATTACTACTGAACTGTGCAATATACAAGTACTACATTAGAGGTATTATCAGTGGATACTATTGTGCACTATTTTTAAAACATGCGAAATTGACTTTCTTATGTTTAATTTGATGAATTTCCGCAAAGTAACTGATTAATAATTTTTCTTATTTTGTTAAGAAAACACTGTGGTACACTAAGTAAAGACCAACACGAATAGCAAATATTTTTTCCGGGGAAAACCAAAAAGGTTATCAACAAAATTCTGTTGAAGTCTACTAAGGTCTACTAAAAAGTGTTGAAACTTTTTTTCGAGTATAATTGAGAGACAAAGATTTCAGGGGAGGCACTAAAGTGTCCGCCTATGGCGACCATTCTTACCTATGCACGTGAAAATTTACAGGCAGTTTCTTTGTAAAGCAATAAAGTACTACCGATTGATCATAAACAGCAATGGCAATGTCCAAACTTATGTAATTAATTTACCTTGTTACTGATGACATTATAGTTCAAAATTACTATGTGGATATATTATATGAAAGTACTATAGCAAAGTTTCTGTGTTAATGGAGAAATATTCGAGAATTCATATGAATTATTTTGAGTATAACCATTACTTTACGAATGTTTTTTATTATATGAGAAATTGTATTGAGATATCTAACTACAAAGAGTCGTAAATAAAATCATCAGTCTCATCATCCCCAACAACATTTTGACTTTCACTAATCAACCTTAAAATTGCCCTCTTCACCACGTCTATCTGGGTGGCATCCATTTTCTCTTTGAGCTTCTCCTTCAATAACATTAAGGTTGAAGAGAGATACTTATTAAGTTGGGTTTTTGAACTCGGTATAGTGAGTAGAAAAGAAGGATCTATAGAAGTCTACTATTTCAAAAGCTTGATTAGCCTTCTCTATTTCAGCTTCACTCTTTGACATTTCATTTTTGTTAGTTCTATTACTCCTCCTAATATAGCAGAATATATTTCTAGGGGTGTTGTCATCAGTCCCTACTAAAACCCCGATATCCTTATTAAATAATAGTTGTTCTTCACTTGGCTCTGAGAACGGATTGCCTGGATCCATAACTTTGAGAAAATATTTCTTATCATTTTCAGTCACTATGTTATTGTATCGTATTGTTGACTCATCACTTGCTAAGTTCTCAATAGTCTAAGGATTGTTTCCTCCATCAGCTAGAAAAATTACATTCTCTGATATCATTTTTTGGGTTGAAATCATCTTGAGGGTTCTTCCCCATAGGTTTTAATGAACTGGTCTCAACTCCATATTGTCCTACAAAATCTCCATCTTGGTACCAACTAGTATATTCTCCATATGACTCAGGAAATAGTATGGTTTTTTCTTTGTTAGGATTAATTCCGAATAACCGGTATACACTATAAGTTAATCCTATTAATGTAGCTAGAGCTTGAATAGTATCTGCAACAAACACGGTCATTGAGTCATCACTTGACCTTAGGCTCTTAGTAATTGTATTAGGAATATCTATGCCACATATTGCAATTAGGCCTACTGTTGTTGAAGCTGCGTTCAACATTCCCATTAAGAATCCAGGGGAAGTAGGTATATAATCTTCTCCATCAACTCTATTTACTAGTTTTGAGAACCATTCCTTATTGTATTGGTTCAGCATAGATAGTTTTGACTCTGACCAAGGAATCCTGGTGAAGAAATGTTCATTTTATAATAGAAAACCTATTCCTAAATGAATTCTTTTTATCAACAAATAGTAAAACCCCATTCTACATATCCTTTCAAAAGCTTTTTGATCATCAGTTGGAGGCGGTAAGTTATTTCTTTTTTTAACTTCTTCATCTATCCAACATTTATGAAGAAGAGCAAATAATAAAGGACTTAAACACTCATTCCATTTGGCCGCATCTTCTGTAGCTTGTAAACTGTAACTTTCATTGCAGTTTTCTTTAAGAGAGGACGTCTGTAATTCATTCATAATTTTTCTTTTCTTTTCCTCCCCACCAATACTTATGGTGCTCTCAGGTATAACACTTAGATAATTCTAAATGAAACTCTTCTATTACCTTAAGATGCATTCTTAAAGCTACTGACCATAATGCAATGGGTCTTCTGTCTTTCTTCCCTCTTTGTTTTATATATGAACAAAAGCTTCTAGCATAATCATCCAACCATTTGTTACAGTTCTTTATTCTTTATGATTTTGGTAACCATCCTAAATTTGACTTGGTTTATAGTTACCCTCATTTTAAGCCTAGGAACAAATCTTTTAAGGGTCTTAATGTACCTTTTCTTATGTAGAACCTTCAAAGATGATAGGCTATAAAGACCATATCAAAATATTAATGCTTCTTTAAGAGTACTGGGTGTTTTCCCTAAATTTGTTTTTATTAAGAAGAGAAAAGAATTGAATGCTTTAGAGCACGTTGTACTTTTTTGAGTTTCGGGATCCCAAGTTTGTTTACCTTTACTCATAATATCAGAGTTACTCTTCTTTATGAAGTTAATAATTTTATCCATACAAGTAACTATTGCTTTAAAATTCTTTATAACAAATATCTGGGCAAACAACCATGCAATAGAGGGGTTGAAGTTTCCCGTTATACCCTCTTTGGGAAAGTCATTTAAATTCTCTACCTGTGCATCATAGTTGTTCATTTTTGTTTCAGAGTCCTCTGACTTAGAGTTATACTCATGTGCTCTACTCACTGTTGCAGCAACATGTGGTGCTGGGCTTCCATATCCATACGGTGGTGGGTTTGTATGTAAATAAGTTCCGCTCATCATGTGCAAACCATTGGTGGATTCTGGATTTATATAAGATTTGTTTATTGTCAGATCTTTAATTTTTTCATTAGCAACATTACTAAATGTGCATGAAACTAGACTATTTAATTTATGTTTTTCCTCAATTTTTTTTTTATATTTTCTATTTACTTTAACTATCTGTTACTGCCAGGGTAATCTCAGGGTAAATTCAGGTAGACTAGAGATCCCTCATTACAAAAAAAAAAACATTGCCTTATAATTTTATAAATTTGATATTTGGATTTAGTTACTGCGTACATAGTTTCCTATGAAGAGAACTCTGTATAATTTAAAAAGAGTATTAATGAACAATTTGAACAAGCTTGTTGAAACAAATTATCAAATAACTTATTTAAAGTTATTTAAAAAAAACATATATATGTATTTTCCATGTTGCTTACACACAAAACGATATGAATGTAATCTTCATTTATTAAAAATATTTTTAAATAAGAGATATTGTACTATTATTCATTAAAATCTATAATAAAAACTGACCAATGTCGTTTCTAGGATAAATTAGAGACACATTTGACAAGTGAAATAGTTTGTACTAAATGGTACAGGGAAGGCCAGTGAAATGAACAGTGAAGATTGTGACGGATACATAATTCTATCAGATTACATAGTTACGCAAGTTATTTGTCAGTGTTAACAAAATATTGATGTTTAGTGCCCTCCACCCCGCAAAGATTGCCGCTTTTTAACTTATTAAATGTTATAAATGTTGTTACAGATTAAAAGTAGTAGTCAAATGTACACAAATCTTTATATTTGATTGCAGAGGGCGCTACTGTAGTTAAACGAAATACTTTTGTGATTTGTTGGAGATTTCTTTAAAAGTGTTCATTGTGAATAAATAAATATTCTAAATTAATTCGATAGGAGGTAGGATTATCGTCAATTGGTCGAGATACCTAAAGCCGTGTGTGCACGGTCTAAAGGTATATCCGGCCTCAGTGAGAATTTCCGAGCATGTGAACAATGCGTGAGAGATTTGTAAATATTTTTTTAATCGGAAACGATGAATTTATTAATGTATTTGGAATTTTGCAAAAATGGTAGCGCTGTAAGTGCGGTGATATGCGAACGGTCGCTTACCGTTATATTAGACATACGAGTCTATTATTTTTGTGAATTTTTAAAATCTGTGATTTTTACAACATCGGCGTATCACAGTTATACATTAATATTTGTGACGTAATATACAGTGTTGATTGTAATTTGTTAACACTTTAACTGGAAAGAACAAACCAGTTTCTATGAAATGTAGATTTTCTATGATAAACATTTTTTTGTTTTACGTATGCAACTGTCCTTAGTGTTGACAGCAGACGTTTTGGCGTTGAACATACAAAAACGAATACGCTTGATCGACGATAAATGTAATATTTATTGTTATACATTTGTGTGCTTGTGTGAGTGCTGGTATGTGTGCTGACTTCTATAATGCTACGTCGACGCTTGAAGCAATATGCCCACTGAATGAATAAATGCTATCATATTTTGTATGTCAATATTTATATTTTCCCAGAATTTATCGCACTTCTGATGTTATAACTTCCAAAATAATAAAAACAAATAAATAATTCCCGGTGTTATAGTTCTAAACTTATTTGTTTCTCTCATTACAGCCCTTCGCAAGTCCACTGCTGAACATAGGCCTCCCCCAAGGAATGCCACAAAGCACGGTCCTGAGCCACCTGCATCCATCGACTTCCTGCATGTCTTACCAGGTCGTCACTCCATCTAGTGGCGGGTCGCCCTACGCTTCGCCTGCCGGTACGAGGCTGCCACTCGAGAACCTTTCTTCCCCATCGGTTGTCGTTTTTTCGAGCTATATGACCGGCCCATTGCCATTTACTAATCCGTTGAGTTATGTCGGTCACTCTGGTTCTACTGCTGATATATTTCTAAGTTTAACACTCAGAGAAACCCCGTGCATAGCCCTCTCCACAGCTCGCTGAGCGACTTTGAACTCCCTCATACGGTCAGCAGATAAGGACCACGTCTCAGATCCATAGTTCATCACTGGCAACACGGACCGGTTGTATAATCTAATTTTGAGGCTTTGAGGTATACATGACGAAAAGATGTGTGATAATTTCTCGAACGCTGCCCAGACGAGTTGAATCCGTCGATTGACCTCTCGGTCGACGTTGGACTTACCTAGTCGGACTATTTGTCCCAGGTAAACATAATTGTCAACTCGTGATGTACTCGCCATTGACGTTAATACCGTATTTTTTCCAGTCCAATAACTTGAAAACGTCTTCCAATGCAGCAGTGAAGTTTCAGGGACATTACGTCACCCTGTCTTACACATCTTTGCAGTTGGATAGGTTTCGTAGTTGAATAGGATCCGTTTCATTTCTTTGTATTATCTATTATTTTATACCCTCATCCCTAACAATATTTATAATTTATTAATCTTGTAACTTCTAAATTTCTTCTCTGGTTAAGGTCATATTCACATAATATTTTTGAAAGGATATTCGAATTTTATTTGTGTTTAAATATATAAATAATATTGCCATAGGTTCTATGGGCAGCTGTACACATCATCGTTGGAGCCACACGCAAGTGTGAGTAACTATCCAAGAGCAAGTCTTATCCGACACTATTCCGATGATATCCCGGACGCCAGTCTAAACGAGATTAGAATGGCTCTCCAGCACCTTAAAAACGGCAGGGCCCCAGGCGAGGATGAAATTACAGCGGAGCTTCTGAAAGCAGGTGGAACACCGGTACTTGAAGTCCTTCAGAAGCTCTTCAATTCCGTCCTCCATGGTGGCACTACTCCAGAGGCGTGGAGCAGAAGTGCTGTGGTCTTGTTCTTTAAGAAAGGCAACAACGCTCTCTTGAAGAACTACAGACCGATTTCCCTTCTGAACCGCGTCTACGTGCTGTTTTCGAGAGTCATTACGAATCGTCTCGCACGCAGACTCGACGACTTCCAGTCTCCCGAACAAGCCGGTTACCGAAAAGGCTTCAGTACCATAGACCACATAAATACCCTGCGGCACATTGTACAGAAGACCGAAGAGTACAATCTTTTTTTTTTGTTGATCCACCAACATTGTATCATTCCTTACATGCTACTTAAATACAATGAAGCGATAAGAACTAAAATGTACAAATAATTACAGGTGTACCTATAATACTAGGATAAAGAAAGATTTAAAAAAAAATTATAACTAAATACAAATAAAAATATATAGAAGCGAAAAGGAAAGAACATATTTTATAGAATGTTACAAAAGATGGTCTCTTAAGGTGCGACGGAGCTTGTTAGGTGGGTCGAAAAATATATCAATTTTATCTCTAAATTTGTTAACAAGTTTACTCTTTCTAGCAATTTGAGAATTGGAGCCAAACACTGTTCTTCGATATGGTCTAGTCAATGGTGTAATCTTACGAGCGTAACGCGGGTAACTAAAGGGAATGCATATATTAAATTTACTTAAAATTTGTCACTTTGCCTGGCGTATGTAGACTATGAGAAAGCCTTTGATTCTGTCGAAATTTGGGCGGTGCTACAGTCCCTTCAGCGGTGCCAAGTTAACTGTCGATATATCGAAGTGCTGAAAGTGTTTGTACAGTAGGGCTACGATGGCTATCCGAGTACAGAACCAGAGCTCGAAACCTATCCAACTGCAGAGAGGTGTAAGACAGGGTGACGTTATATCCCCGAAACTCTTCACCGCTGCATTGGAAGACGTTTTCAAGCTACTAGACTGGAAAGGATACGGTATTAACATCAATTGCGAGTACACCACTCACCTTCGATTTGCCGACGATATAGTCCTTACGGCAGAATCGCTGAAGGACTTAAGCACTATGCTCAAGACCTCAATAGTGCCTCCCAACGGATAGGTCTTAAGATGAACATGGACAAAACAAAGATCATGTTTAATGTCCATATCACACCTATGCCGGTAGTTGTTGGGAGCACTAAGCTCGAAGTTGTTGACGAGTACGTTTACCTGGGACAAATAGTCCGACTAGGTAAGTCCAACTTCGACCGAGAGGTCAATCGACGGATTCAACTCGGCTGGGCAGCGTTCGGGAAATTACGACATATCTTCTCGTCAGGTATACCTCAATCTCTAAAAACTAGATTGTACAACCAGTGCGTGTTGCCAGTGATGACTTACGGATCTGAGACGTGTTCCTTCACTGCTGGCCGTATGAGGACGCTCAAGGTCGCTCAGCGAGCTATGGAGAGGGCTATGCTCGGAGTTTCTCTGCGTGATAGACTCAGAAATGAGGACATCCGCAGTAAAACCAGAGTGACCGACATAGCCCAACGGATTAGTAAGCTGAAGTGGCAATGGGCCGGCCATATAGCTCGAAGAACCGATAACCGATGGGGAAGAAAGGTTTTCGAGTGGCAGCCTCTTACCGGTAGGCGTAGTGTAGGGCGACCCCCCACTAGATGGAGTGACGACCTGGTAAGATATGCAGGAAGTCGATGGATGCAGGTGGCTCAGGACCGTGCTTTGTGGCATTACTTGGGGGAGGCCTATGTTCAGCAGTGGACTTGTGAAGGGCTGTAATGATGATGATTATATAAATAATGATCGTTTTTAAAAATACGAGTATAAGGTTCTACTTTTATTTGAAATTATCTTAAATTGAATGTGATTTATTGGCAACAACTATGCGTACGCAAGATTCAATTTTTGCTGACCGGGCAATAGCCCGGTCTACAAACTTTGTAAAAACTTTGTAAAAACGTTTACTATTTTACTACAAACGCACACATTCTCAAGGGTTCTTGAGAATGTGTGCGTTTGTAGTAAAATAGTAAACGTTAGATATTTATGTATGAAAATCACTTAAAATCATTATGTCGCAATACACTTGGTCGTTTGCCCGTATTCGATTGCCTATGGAATTCGGACAAACGACTAAGTATAAATAAACGGAGTCGAGTACGCTCGCCTTCGTTTTGGTTACCCGAATCAAGATAC